CCCTAAACCCTAAACCCCCTAAACCCTAAACCCTAAACCCTAAAACCCTAAAACCCTAAAACCCTAAAACCCTAAAACCCTAAAGATTTTTTCTTTTGACTAATGAGTCTGTTTGTCTGAATGAACCTTTTAAGGCTTGGTATTCGAAGCTGCAAACCCGATACAAATAAAGCAAATTTCTTGTTTGTTACAGTCTTTGCTTCTTCCCAGAAACTTGTATGAGGCCACTCGGCCACTCCTTGCACACCCTTGAAACAAGCCGAATATATATGCCTATGGAGAGATTCTGTAGTGCATATATGGATAAATTTCAAAACATGATAGGGTAGAATTAACACAGAATAGTAGAATTTGAATGGCATGATGTATGTCCCTAAACCAATATTTTGACTTATTTAAAGTATGTCAAACGAAATAGGCATATCTGGCAAATTTTGATCAAAATCAAAGAAAGTCTCGTCCAGAGACGGTTCATTCCAGTTTTGTGCGATTCCCGGCAATAGGTCATTCCTCCAAGGAAAAGCAGATGGCCCAATGCATGAACTTGGCGCCTTGTCATATCGTTTTTGATTGTGACTATGTCGTGATATTTGGTCGTTAGGCTTCCCATTTGTTCGTAGCTGTCCTCATAACTCTGGGGCTTCATCGGCTGATAGAAGCCATGCGAGTAAGTTACCAGGTGTGAGCAACATAGCAATTAATCTCTCCGTCGATCAATAATCGGGAGCCCCATCTCCGATCCGCAAACGGTTGGAGGTGGATCTGAATATTGCGCTATTGAATTTCTGCCCCGCTTGTATCCCGATGGAATTAATTACGGATTCATTTTTTTATTTTACTCAGCCCACTAAACACAATTATGGCATGAATATAATCATAGCCGGTTTTAGGATCTCTCTAAATTGTGTATTATATGAAAGCCCTTTACGCAAGGGAAAGAAGAAAAAAAGCTGTTGAAAGTTGGCTGGCGGACTAAAAACTTTTTTACCTGGGATTAAGTTGGCCTACGTCCGCCGGAGAGGCATTGAATGTGCGAATCACGACGCACGAGATCAAACAGGCCGAGGTCTGACGCTCGATTCACTGTCTACAACTGAGATTTCTACCCAAAATAACAACTCCGGCAGTCGACCTCGCGCTCCTAATGGTCGGCTCCAGGTCAGGTATCTTAAAACAAGACTACTATAACTAGCTGTGCCACGATAAATCGGGTAATCAAGCCGACTATAAGGACTAAAATACACTTCTGACGCCACAGGTTGTGCGAATAGACATTTTCCATAAAAAGGAAAGAACCAATCAATCACTATATAATAATCGGGGTTGTCGAATTTGATGGCCTTGCCTAGCAAATACCCCAATGCTCAACAGCAAAAGACCCATCCATACGATGGATATCCGGAAGAACGAGCGGATCCGGATCATCACCCACAAAGAAAATCAACCCATCAAAACATGGCAATCGGGTTTGTCGAATTCGATGGCCTGGCCTGGGAGATATCCCAATGTTCAACAATACAGGTCCCGTCCATACGATAAATATCCGCCAGAGCGAGAGGCTCTGGATTCTCGTCCACTTTCAAGTGAATCAGACCGGTGTTATTGCCAAAATTTGATCGCAAGATGGTGACACTTGCAAACGGAATAATCTGAGATAATCTCGCAACAATAGCGTCACGGTCCTGTGTATCCTCGGGATCATGTTCGATGATGTTGGAAGAGACGTAAACTTCGAAGGCTTTGGTGATATTCTTCTCGACATACAACGTTTGCGTAAATTGCGTGAATAAGAGGCTTTGGAGGCTCTCGGAAGCTTCGCGACCTGGGCAATATGGCTTTTGCAAACAGGATGAAGTACCATGGCCGTATTTGAGGTCTGTTCCAGAACAAGGTTGGTCAAATGGACTTTGCGCCCCTGAACCCAAGGCCAAAGGAAGCGCAATGAGCATGAAACAAAGAATATGCATCCTGAATTGATTCGCAAAATAAGGTAATAGAATTTGAATGCAGTTTCTTTTGCACGAGATGTTGGGATATATCGAAAATTCGAGTCAAGCAGACATCACGGCCCTTTATATACGTTTATGGTCGAGATATCTGTAGCAACATTTTGTCAGTTCGCGCTATCAAGGAATCCCTCATATAATCATGTGATGCCCTTAGGCATATGGAATCCTAGGCTATACCAATCGCCGATTTAGTTATTTCCCTTGTCACGATGTAAAAATTCCACAGCAATGGCGGATGTTCGGCCCAGTCAATCACATAGAATCGTGGCGCTGACAAATATTCCTAAATGCTACTCATTCCGTAAGGTGGTACCGACCATCCATAATTATGGTACAGGGATCCCATATAACAAGGCTGCTGAGTGACACAATCGATTGACCATCGAGACTACGCTACTGTCATGCAGCGCTGTATGTGGAGTATTCACCTTGTGGACGAAGGGATATAATCCTCCCTCCCTCACGGAGACATTGCGCTACACAGAATTGGGCCCTCTAAGTGAAACCTTGCAGCAAGAAGTTACTCGCCTTCTGCTGCAGAACCATATAGCAAGTTGCCCATTCTTCGGGAGGCGAGTGATTTATAAAACTGGCCTATCACCCCTGCCTGATGACCGTATCACATTGGGAACCCTCCCTCCGCCCGAATAAACCCGCCTAACACACAGCGCTGGCTGGCAACATTGCCGACGGGACACTTCAACACGACATACTACACAGGACTTTGCCAAACGGCTCACATTTGACGTCCTATATGGTGTCTAAAAGTCTGGAAACAGCTCGCGTTCTAAGCTTTTCACTACAACAATATTAAGGAATGCTTGGCCTCCATGTTCCGAACAATACTACGGAAGACCCGAGAAAGAACTAGTGGAAAGGGGTATAAAGAGTGTATACGGAGCGTATGGAATGATGCCAATCAGATAATACCTCACAGTGTCACCACACCTTTTAGATGGAATGTACCCTGGTTACATTCATCTGGGTCCATCTAGTGGGACCGCGACTTCAGTCAGGTCCTGCGCCGGCAAACTTAATGCCCTGTAAGCCGCCCTGGCCAATGCCAGGGTTCATTGAGGTAGACGACACAAATGAGTGACCAATATTCTATGGGAACCATAATGGTAACATCAAGCTCCCTGATTAGTTATCTCGGGAAAATGGGGATCTTATCGGACAGGCTGCCAGGGAAAGGTATTGGGAATTGCTATTCCGCTGTTCCAACCGATTTTCGGAATCCCATCTTCGTCAGTATACTGATCCTAAGGAATTAGATTCCATAGGAAGCTGAATAGCCCATGGATCTGTACGCATATAGATCATACCATTCCTGCTACAAATCTGAACAGTAGAAGCTGACACCTTTGGTAGATTTCAGTTGCTCATGGGACAACTAGCTCGTAGCCACGGAAGTAGTGGTGGTGGTAGTGGTTAAGGACACGGGCTATGTTGCTTGAAATTGGAATTCGTTCTTTAACGGCGTGTGACAGTGCTCCTGTATTGACTGAACCTCAGGTTGAGTCAAAGTCTTAGACGCGGTGCTTGAAATTGAACCTGTAACATACTTCTTTCGGTGGGAAGTATCCCGATTGAATGTGTATACTGCTCTTAGGACAGACTTGTAATTTCTGGCGCTAACGACAGGTCATAGTTCTAGGGCTCTTGGGATTCATCGGAATGTTGTTGCTTAGTTTAGGTAATCGAAATACATGCCCACTAGAGTTTACTCTATAATATCTTTATCAAATCTCATCAATAGTCAGACCTGTGTAGCAAGGGAGATAGAGAATGCTCGTTGAACTGAATCCTTCCCCTTCGATCTCCTCCAGTCCTATTAGTTCCAGGCGCAGACAGTGGGTTTGCTCCATTTTCAGAACATCGTTGAATCTCTGGCATGCTGAATTGATATATTGCCAAAGGACTGCACCACATTTCTCATCCAAATCGGAGCTAGCCTACGTGGACAGCAAAGAGCCCACCACTTCTTTTCAGAGGGGTGCCCAATTACTCCAGGACAAGAGGTGTGGAAATAGAAGAATGTTATATGGAAATTCTTCGGGGCAGTCAATTGAACGGCATTTCTGGAACAAGATTCCCGTATCTAGCGGCTGAGGCGAAATACGACAGTAATTTTTACGCCTTATTTATTACCCTACTGAAATACTGCCAAGAATGTGGGTCACGGATAGACTAACCGCAAAACGTATAGAAGAATTTAAGAGAATAAGGAAGTGATCAGAATCAATGTGAGAAATAAATACTATAGGGGGAAATAAGGGATTTATAAGTACCGTGCTCTAAGACGGAAACAAAAGTCCGTGTTGAAATGGTAAAGTATCTATCGTGGGGTGGACTATATGATCGGCCCAAACAGACCCCCACCCCAATGCCAAGACTTACTTACGGTATACTTACAGGGCTTAGAAGCCTAAAACCCAAATCCGGAAAGAAGGGGTTATTTGGTTATTTTCACCAATGGTTTGGTCGCTCTATGATCGTTCTCGGTATTATCAATGGTGGGCTTGGCTTCCGCCTCACCGGAATCGACACCTCAATTGCTCCTACTAGAGCAGTTATTGGATATAGCGTGGTCGCTAGGGTCTTTGGGATTGCCTACTATTTCACTGTCCTTTTTTTTACCATGAAAAGAAGATCTCGTAAAGAAACAACCGTACTCCCCAGGGGCTGTCTCGGAAAGACAAGTCTTGAAAGAAGGCTTTCAGCCATCCTTCAGTGGGCTGCGTGTTGGACGGTTGCTGTGTGTTGGGCGGTTGCTGCCACGAAGAGTTTAAGCACTTTTCATCTGCATCCATAAAGTCAAGGCCATGGACAGCTATCACGCTGCTTATTGAGCGCTATACACCATCGTACCCGGACCTTGGGCCCAAAGTTAGGCTTTGCGGAAGTCTACTAAAACCCATTTTGGGTTGGTTTGGGTTGGGTTGGGTTCGGGTTAGAGTGGGTTTTGCTGAAGTCTAAGCCAGGTGATGGTAAGGAAAAGAATGACGAGAAGCATCCGAATCATGGTCGCGGTAGTACTCAGAGGCATTTTGTGTCTGCAAAAAACAGATTCACAGATTGTAAGAAGGTGAGGCAGGCCTCGGCCAAGGGAACAGTTAAACAAAGTAAAGAATAGCAGCAGAAAATGTAGTCGGTCAATCTCCGGGCACCGTGAATTTATATGGCTAGATATTACCTAAAATATAGTATGCTTTAAGCAGAGGTGGTTATACACCACCATTGTTGAGATATCAAGTTGTAATTTATCACTTTTACCATGTGTTTTGGGCTGCGCAGCTCGTTTACCATGCGCAGCTCGTTTACCGAGTACGTTATGTCAGCAAGTGATGCGTCAAGCATCGATTGAGGCCTCAGGCTAAACACTTGCTGAATAATAACCCCGTAGACCTTGGGGATAACACGAGGGCGGCTGGATAATCACGTTTCGTCAAGAAGATTTGGCGCCAGGGGCCGGCCACGCTTTTCTTCCCCACCCATCCACATACAAAACACGCCACCTCCAAACGCGCTGCGTACCCATTTTTCATACCTTGCAAAGCATAGTCATCGCTTCCCCTCAAAAAGAAACAAATGCAAAAGGAAATCGAGAGCAAAGGTTGCTATGTTTGACGCCCTGGGGAACGCCTTACAATATGTGGTTCAGACCGACCAGAGGAGGAGAAGTGAACCGGTATCTTGACAATACCACTCAAGGTGAGGCAAAACTCTAGGATGCTCTCATCGCTCAAATAAATGGAAATCGTTTACTCTAATTGAAGAATTGGCTCTAGGTACTGTTCTCAAACACTTATTGAAAGCATTCAGCAGGAGGAAGACGGAGATCAGGGATTTGGAGAGGGTATTCCAAACTCAAGCTCAAGAGGATCATTCCACAAAGCAGCGATGTAAGCGCTGTTTGGCCGCTGAACTAAATGGATTTCTGCTAACAATATATCCAGACTGGAGTGAGGAGAGTTTACGGGGCCATGTTGAGAATATACATCCAAACCTTGCGAGCTCCAAATCCATCATTCAACTATTATGGAGGAGCTTCTATTTTTTCGCCTTTCACCCCTTTCCACAAGATCCGACCGGTGGAAGAGTTGACTGGGAGGCCTTTCAACGCGCTATTTCGATGCTGGTTGCCCAGGGCGCCGATCTCCTAGGCGTCTTAGAAGAGATCGAATCTTTTTGGCGACTCGATGGTGACGATTTCTATCATCAGGCCAAGGTCAAAAGAATCTTCAGAAGCATCGGGACTCCCGAACGATGCACCCAAATGCACTGGGTGGTGACCAGAGACGGGATGACATTGGATTTGATCAATTTCTTCCAATAATGTACCTGCTGGTGGGTATCAGTCTTTCGCAATTCAAATCCAGGTGCTGTAACTGACCTTTCGCAGCCGAATCTGTACCTGCGGTTCTATCAGATGTGGGCGGCTATTTTTCAACCCCCCTTGACCTCCGAGGCTATAACCCCATCCCAAGTGCCGAGGAATGTACCAGACCGCGTTCTTAGCGCTATATCGTTATTTATCCCTCATCCTACAGTTTCAACCCTCGGGGGCTCTAGGGAAGAGGACAACCGAATTGCTCTGGAGGACTCATTTGAACCGTCACAGGGAACAGACGGCGCAATAATGACAAACGTGAATAGTGCTTTGGTAGAAAGCGCAGCTCCTCATCTAGTACTTATTACTGGCACAGATACTGCAACGTCTGAGGTGGTGGTGATAGGAGCCTACCTACCCCCAGGGTCTACGGGAGTAGCTTTGCATCTCTTCTTCCAGCTGCAGCCACGATTCCGTCTTCTCCGATGGAATGGTGGTTCCAAAGGGCTGATGGACAGGATGTACGCGGATGATGAATCTCTGTCCGAGGCAAATTCTGTTTCCGAAACCAGTGACGACTCCAGAATGAGAAGCCCATTTGGGATAAATCACCCGAATAATGGATGCATTTACCTCAAAGTCGACTCAGTGAAAAAGCTTGCTTATTTGGCCGACCATGCTAAAGGCCGGGAAGGGCTTCTCGAAGTTGCATTCAGTCACCTCAGTGTTCTGGGTGTTTCGGGTGGCGGGCCCGCTGTGCTTCCAGGTCTTGCGGAAACCTGTTCGACGAATGTTCTTCCAGGGTCATTCAGAACCCCCCAGAAGTCAGGATTTACGGGAAAGAACTCAAGGAGCGAATAAGAGGCTTTGGTTCATGTTGAAATAAACAAGTCACGTGATAAATACCTTAGGGAAGGCCCCGATTTATCGAAGCTAGGAGCTACCCTGAACGCAGAACGACTTCACTCTTTTTCAACATCACAATCATAATTAAAACCCCCCAGACTAGTCGTCAATTGAGGCTCGAAACTCTCCTAGGGCTCAATGTGGGCCCCCTATGCACCGCAAGCTCCGCTTTACATAAACTATAATTTTAAAGGGATTAATCGAAGAAATAAAGTTATTTAATTCATAAACTAAAACAATTATAAATAATAGTATCCTATTCTACTAGGTTGGTATCTTTATAAACGCTAAAACATATATTTTATATAGAAATGGGTTCAAATAGGTTGGGTTAGGTTATAGAGGGCGGAACCCAAAATGAGTTCTGCCGAAGTCTACTTATTAGGGTATTTTTTACGGATTCTGCAAGGAATCCCCACCGTGTAACCAGACTAATCCCAATATAATTTTGCTAACAGTTTTCTCATGTTCGAAACCCCCCTTACAGCTATTATCATGTCAACCTAATGTCTTCATATCAAGTAGGGGTCTCATAATCTAGGCCATTCTACATTGAGCGGTGACAGTAAGAATGCCGGTGTAGGTGAAATACCCAGAAAGTTGGTCTGTATCTATTCAAAGCCGTTTCTTTGCAACTTTCCAATGATCATTACATGTTGGTCTGTTCTGTTATACTTGTGTACCGCCAAGTTTCTTGCAGAGATAATGAAGATAAGGTGTCGTACAGACTATGTTGCCTTCTTTTCCTGTTTCGCATTTCCGTGTCGGTCCTGCATAAATAGAAATGACTAAGCGGTCTTTTTTCCCAATGTAATAGATTCACGCTTCGGCAATTATACGTGGTGGCCCGGCTCGGCCCGAGGGCTCGAAATGGAATCTACGATACGACTAGTTTGCAATAATTCTGAAACCGGAATGGGGTAGGTGCGAGGTAGACCTCGCCAACACTCGCCCACGAAAGATACTTGATGGTCTCGTCAATAGTATATATCGCGTGCATTTGCTTTTATGGGACAGTTTCCAAACATCGCATTATCGCTCCTTTCATGCTTTTACAGGTCGATCATCGATACTCCCTTACATCAAACTAGACCACGGCGACTGATGACATGGTACAGGACGAGAAGTTTTGCTGCATACCCACCGTCTGCAAGCCTGGCGTGTGATGGACCGGGGCTGAGAGCCACGAATAGGCTAACGGTCCAGCCCATCCCTTACATCCAAAAAGGAGAAATGACCCAATTCCGGAATTATCAGCACAGCAGCCTTTTTCAAGGCTGAGCTGAAGAAACCTCATTGGTTTTTGGCGCATATGGGATGCACGAATAGGCTGATTGCTAGGTTCAATGGTCGTGGGCCCTTGTGGCATATGCCAGTAATTGCCCTAGTCGGGTGCAGTTTTCGGTGGCTTTCAGCCCCTGGGAGGTCATAGATCCGAGCACGGGACCTGACAGATATGAGAGAGTAAGAAGATCCTAAATAGGTTCTGCCTTCGTGAGATTAGTATCTCATTAAACATTATAACTCTCTTCCTCTTCTTCTCTCTCCATCTCTCTCTACTCGCTTACTTCGCTTACTTTACTCATTTTCTTCTAATTTTCTCTCCTTTTCAATTACTTCCATTTCCAATTTTTATCACTTCCTTCCTATTCCGTCACCCTGTTTGCTCCCTCTCGACTTTGTTCATGGGAACATTGTGCAGTCGCCACTTAGTTTGACAAGCGGTCTACGGTTGGATTTTCTTTTAGTGAGGCTTTGAACACGGGGTTATGGGCAAAGCATTGTGTCAACTGCTCAACATGCGTTTCCATCACGCCGACACTGCTGGGCCCCGATTCCTGCAGTCGACATACCAACTCATCTTCCGTGCAAGATTAGACTCATCCCACCTCGAACACGCCTTTCATGAACTCTTGCGAACCTGGCCGATCCTCCGAGGAAGACTGAACTTTATGGTATGTGATTTTCTTATGCCCCGGTAACGGTGCTAATTCCCTAATAGCGTACCGGGTCATTTTCAACGGACGATACAGCAGGATTTTGGCAGTTAAAGAAGATAGAATCTCCGTTGGCCGAATATTTTCCTCTCAATCACTTGGCCTGGGAAGAGATTGGAGAGCCAGAGCAAAAGCTGGTAGATGAACTGTTTGATTTACCGTCGTTCAAATCGTACCTGTTACCTCCAATTCTCCGGGTCCAAGTTTTACAGTTTCAGGATGGGTGTCTTATGCAATTCATTTTACAACATGCATTTTGCGATGGAACAGGTAATTTTCCACATTCCAATATATATCTTTTGTATGTCCAGGTGCCTGATCCGCTTATACGACAAAATGAAAGGTTTCCATCGAATTGTCTCCGCATATGCTTCACTTGTGCGTGGTGAGACAATTCAGCCCATTGACGAAAAGCGGCCGTCTCAACTCGTGTTCCAAACATCTATAGAAGGATGCGAAACTCCAAACCAGCTCTCCGAGCAGGTGTATCAACTGACATTCCGGCATTGGGCAACGGGATGGATGGGATTGATTTTTACTGGTCTTGCTCAGTGGCTGATTAAGGCCTGGTCTCCCAGCGAGCGATTACTCCGAAATATGCATATACCTCCCAGTGTTATTGACCGGCTCAATAATCTCGCCAAGCAGCGAGATCTATTTTTGACCAGAAATGATCTGCTTATGGCGATTATAGCACAGGTAACGAATGTGAACCTATCATAATATATTGCCGGAAACTGATTGAGATTACGGACAGGCTGCCATGGCCTCATTTCCGGACATATCCCGAATACCAATAGGCTTCATGTTGAACTTCAACAAAGGCCTTGCACGACCGGCCTCATTACACAATGGCTTCTGGCCGGTATCCATCCCTATGCCTCTTTCCCGGGAAATGGACATGCATGGCCACCAGGATGACCAGCTCATCAAGTTGGCTATCCACATCCGCCAGGCTGTTAATGCCGCGCGCTGCCCGAGAACCTTGGAGCTTTTCCGCAAGTGGTATGAAACAATGGGGAGCTGGCAACCACTCTACCCAGCAAACTTCTACCCAAATTCCCCCAATATCCAGGTATCCTCTTTATCGCAAGAATGGTATGACATTTCCTTCGGTACCGAAAGCAAGCCTTGTCATGTGCAGATGTACCCATCTATGATAGATATCTTTAACGCCGTTGGTTTTTGTTATCATGATCTCATCATCGCAATAAAGGACCGAGACGGAGGTGGGTACTGCATTCGTGGCTCACTACATAAGGAGGTCTGGAAACAACTCGAATATCTTCGTGATGAATGATCAGATGGAGAGATCGCCGATTTAGATGCTTCTCGAGTTATGAATTGAAAGAGTATTTATGCCATAGCAAAATTTAACAAACTTTCATCTAGGTCACATTATTGTTAGTATTGACTATCAACATTTAGATAATAGGAGGTCGCCATAAGCCGCCGAAGCGGTACAACGCTATCAGTTTAGACCTTGACGGGAAATCTAGATGAAATGCGCGACGGAGAGTACTGGCACTCAATGAGGCGGGGCCCGCGCCCCTGTCTGGTCAGCTGCGCCCCCTTTTAGGTTTACTCTGGCAATAATAGGAACAATTAAAATCGATTACTATTGTAATTAGGCAATCTGGATTCGAACCCTAATATGTCGTCTCTATACTTGTACCCTATGTATATATATATTATGGGTTGAAAGGGCTTAGTCGCTAAGGTATGTCTTGTTTCTGCTTCCTGTTGCGAGGGGGAGAGCTGTAATGATCAGCTAAAGCATTTGAAGCCTAATCGTTTCACTTACTAATGGGATATGGTTAGAAGTTTCCGGTGATTTGTCTTTCTCGCTAAGGATTGGCAATTTACTGGGCTGCTGATTCCCTTCAATTTCCTGGTTTGGCGAGCTGTTCGGGGTATTAATTTTTCCGCAGGAGAAGGTAAAGATCTGGGTATTAACGTTTCGATTAGGGCTTTATATCTCTTATAGACTATGCACACGTAGGTGGCTATAGACTAGGTTTTACAATCACTACAACGGCCGATTCATGTAGTCAACTTTTGAATAGAATTTGTTTTTATTTTTAGCGGGCGGTTGGTAGTCAATTTGATAGTAGGGATAGTGATTAACGAGTCGGTTAGGGAAACTGATTAAGCCTCACAACGTTAAGGGCCGAATATGAACGTTTATTAAGGACATTTATATCTCAATTAGACACCTCTTCCCTTTCGTTAAACGCCTCGGAAATCGGACAAATAGAATATTGAACTTATAGTCATCAAAGAAAAGAAGTTTAAAAAAGAAAACAAAAAAAAAAGTATCTTTATAGGCACAAGTTCGAAAATTGAGCGTTGACAACATATAGCCAAGCTTTAACGGGTTGACGGGTCGAGCGCCCGCACACCCGACCGTGACCTCGCTCTCCGTAGTCTAGACGGACAGACCTATAGCTTAATAACACTAAAGCGAGGCTAGGGGGAAAATCTAACTTCTCGGGATAAAATTGTAGGCGCTTTTCGGTGATTTAACGTTGAGTCGCTTATAGATGAGGCGATCAAAACAAGAAATATGAGCCCATCATTGCGGATTGTATATCTCCTACAGAGCTTCAATATTAATAGCCTTAAAAACTTTAGAGATAATTTAGATAACTCTATATTGTAAACTAATAATTATATTTAAGCTATTATATATTAGACGTTAATTTTAAGTTATCTATTCCTAACGCTAGAGCTAGGTTATAAGTTTATATTTTTTTAGAAAGTATACACGTCTATAACTTAAATATACCTCTATAAAGTTTTATCAGACTCGAGTATATATTATAATACCTAACCCAGCTTTAACTAAATCTCTAGACCTAGGGGTGTAGGGCGTTCGTCTAACCAACCAGATCTACCAAATACCGGTAAAGAATGTATTATAATCCCGACTTAGGCTCGGTCGGCCGCCTCCTATAGGATAGGGCTATAGATATCTCCACTTATCAGTTTCTCGCTTTTTTCTTAAGTACATTTTATCTTGATCTATTCATTGTCTGAATCTATATCTATGATACTCCGTATGGAGGATGTAATTTGAAGAACGGTAGGTCTTTCTGAGATAAAGTTCTAGTAGTGTCAGTAAGAGTAAGGAAATCTGTATACATTGTAAGTACCTGCTCAAATAGATCTCCACTTATGATAAATTGCTCAGTGTCAGAGTGTACATTTTGAAAAGACCCGCGTAGTGTAGGGATATCGGAAAAGACGTGCCACATATTTGGCTACGTTTAGGGCCTAGAACAGGTCACCTGTTGGCTGGCTTACAATCGTCCTAGATATAATGGGCATTCCGCGGAGTATTTCAGTCTAGTTCTCTTCGTATAAGAGCTCATCACATTACTACCAGCAAAATGGAAATCGTGGGAGAGCCCTTTTTGGTTAGGAAACGCAGTTGCCTGGCGTTGCGGCATGCGTCGGCCTCAGTTTGCCTCAGGTGGCTTCCACTGCTATGGATAAATAGGGTTTGATCCGCCACCTGCGCGTTATCCGAATTGAGATGACTTACGCGTCTCCCGATTGATTCGCCAGGCGTTGTCACCCACCATCAATAGTTTAAGTTGGGATAGGGAGCTTCTTTACATCGAGTGACTGAAGAGTCTAGTCTATCATTCCACCACACCGAACTATATGAATTTAACAAGGTAGTCAATTCAACCGAGCGCTCCATCCTCCTCCCAAACGAAATCAATGAGTTGTCACACTACACAACATCTTTCTCTGTCCATAAACAACAACCTAACCGAAGGCACCATTTCCCTGAGGAACCTGATTTGCGCCCAGTATGAGCATGAACTCTAGTAATTCTTTGGTTCTTGGCTAAGGGCATCACTAGTGGCCAACCCTACGAGAAGGGCGAAACTGTCAAGCTCATCTCCCCCGAAGATGTCAATCAGATCTCAATCCCTCATGGCAAAAGTGCCGTGCTATCGGTCTGCGGAAGTGCAACGCTTGGGCAAGGCATCGAGGGAATGATTGATCTCCGCCGCGATGGAAAGAGTTTGATCGCTTCCCTATACTGGAATGGACCTTGGAAACGCATTGGAAATGAGTGTTATCTTGTTAATGTTGACAACGAGCATTACGTCCTTGAATTGACTACCCCTCCGTTTGAAGGTATACTAGGGGATCTCGCTGTCGATGTCAGAGAAATCGAGGCGAGTGAACCACTGCAATAATACCGATCGTGGTTTGGAGTACCTGCATTCATATGAAAATAATGTTTCAAACGACCGTGTAGCTGAATCGACGAATCTTATACAAGATATCCATAATAGGCTAGACTCTTCAGTCACTATACTCACTAAGAGTTGATACCTCTCATTCCATCTGTGTCATGATGCCTTGGCCAGCTTTGGGTTGCAGGGGCCGGACTCGACCTTACGAAGCACACGACCAAGAATAATCGTCAATACACGGTGGAAGACATACAAGCCAACAGCCAATCCAATCGCTCCCATGAAGAACCAAGTCCATGGCCTATGTCCAATCCACATGAACACACGTGTGTCTGATCGATGCCAAGTGCTGCTCTCTAGATCGGTGGTGAACGGCGCTAACTCCGTTGCATTGATGACCCCCACAGTCGGCGAGGGTAGCGAAGGCTGCTCAAGCAAGTAATTCTTTATCACGAGAGTGAGAAACATGGGCCCGGCGGATATCATAATGGCGCAGTGGGGCTCCCATCGAGCCCATAAGCGAGTTATCGCATGAAAGATAGGTAGTTTGGCAATTGCCGCGGCATAGATTGGATGCCGGGCAGAGGTGATCATGAAGTCGTTGGTCACACCTGTCGGCGCTGTTGACTTGAACAAGGCGTACTTCGATGTGTCGGCTTCAATTTGGTGAATGGGAAAGCTCCGGTTGCACCAGGTGTCCATGTCGAGGTAGACACCACCAAAATGATACAGAACAAAATAGCGTATAGCATCTGCACGCTGGATTGGGAAGGCGTAGGCATCCCAGATATCCACGAACCAGGGGTATTCAACGGAAAAGAATTGTCGAGCCAACTCATCGGTCCATAGCTAGAAAATCAATTAGCGAAGTCCAAAAGTAGCCAGTTTCCTCCATTCGAAGCTTAGCCTTTGTAGACTGATGGCCCCTTCTACGACGTACGGATAATGCTTACCTTGTACTCAAAATCTGAATATGCTTCTTTGCAGCTCTTCTGCGACTCAATCCACTTGTCTGGTATCGTTTCGTTGGCGGTGGTTTGGTGTAGGATTTGCGGTATCTCCCACGATGAGTTCGTTTGATGCCGATCATCTGGCGTATAGTTGGTGTGCAGGGCTACTCGAGACCCGAACAGCTCTTCATTTCTCCGTAGCAGAATGATAAGAGGCTGGAAGATCTGGAGTAGCAGCCAGACGACCATCAGGTCTATCACAAGGATAAGCACCGTAGCCCTTTTCGGCCTTCGTACCAGTCGGAAACTCCGTCGCGGGTATTGCAATAATCCAGAATTCCGACCAAGATTCTCTTCATCATACATTGTGTCGTTGTTGGCATTGGAAGCTCCAAAATCCCAGTGGTGAAGATGTCGCCAGAAGCTTATCATTGTGGTTGGAATGGCATGCCTTAGGGACTCAGGTGTTATCTTGTGCGCTATCTCATCAACTTTATAGAGTCTGACAGATTATTGGTAAGTTCAGCTTGCATCAACAAAAAAAATTGAAAGATCCCGTGTAGTCTAGAGGCATGAAGTCAAAATTGAAAATTTCTATCTATGCAAGGAATAAGAATAGGGCTAAGCTTTGCTTGGCTCTGACCACGCAATGGTTGACGAAATACCCATGTTTCCCGTTTCCGGAAAATGGCTCTGATCGGGTCATACGGTCATACGGTCTTATGTCACCCAAGCACAATGAGTGGGGTACTTACCAAATCCGGCTAGTCGCGAACCCTTGGGAACCAAAGTATTCGAGAACTATCGTTCAAACGAGAACGAGGTTAATATTGTAACCAGTTGACCCACGTGGAATCTACGCTCAACCTGCAGCCGTGAGGTCATACTCGTATCATCGTCATCAGGCCATTTTCGCCAACGTACTGTCGAACTGATAAAAGCTCAAAGCTCAATCATTTGAATATTCCACCGTGTTCATTTGGTTAAAATATTGAACGTTTGAGGAGATTCAAGAACTTTCCGATAATGGTCCGAGCTGCTATTTTCAGGAATTCCTTAATATTGGCGGCACCGGTTTTTGCCAGTATCAGTTATCCTCCCATTCCGGAGGACTTGACAACACCATTCCAGGTGCGCTTGGCGGTCAATGGAAAAAATGGTAAGAAGTAGCAGCCATCAAATGAATGTGGTTTAGAACCAATCCACTGACAAAAGCCTTTGTAAAGCTGTCGCAATTGGATGGAATACATATGAAGCATTAAGCGAGAGCTGTGTGGCATATGGTACCTTAGCGGACAACTTGAGCTCTCGCTCATGCTCGTCCTCTTCGGTCACCTACAGCACCTCCCGCACCTGGTCTAATATGGTAGTGCTAAACAACTTGGGCCCAGCGACCGTGTACTACTACAAAATCATCTCGGCGAACTCGAGCGTAGAACCTTTGCTTAGTCCGCGGATTCCCGGAGACAAGACCCCCTTCAACATGAATGTCGTGTCAGACTTGGGCGTTTACGGCAAAAATGGGTTCGCAGTCTCGAGAAGCGACGTAATCCCCTACGTCCAGCCCGAATTGAACCACAGCACTATTGGCCGTCTTGCCAAAACACTACAGGACTACGAAGTCGTCATCCACCCGGGCGACTTCGCATACGCAGACGACTGGTACCTTAAGCTGCCAAGTGTGCAAAAGGGTGAAGAGGCCTACCAGTCGATTTTAGAAAGATTTTATGAACAACTTGCGCCAATAACTGGACGTAAGATCTACATGGTCAGCCCAGGTAACCATGAAGCGGACTGCAGTCAGATTCGGCGTCTCCTTAAACTGTGCCCTGAGGGCCAGGAGAACTTCACTGATTTCAAGCACCACTTTGAAAAAATCATGCCGCATCCATTCACTTCGTCTTCATCGAACAAGTTCGCTCAGACCCAGTCTGACAAAGCGCGCAGCTTCGCGAGGCCACCTTTTTGGTATTCTTTTGAATATGGCATGGCACACGTGGTAATGATCAACACAGAAACCGATTTCCCTAAAGCCCCAGATGCGAATCTGGAAAGTGGACCATTTGGCACCAACGGTGAGCAGCTAAAGTTTCTGGAGACCGATTTGTCCAGCGTGGACAGGAGAGTGACCCCATGGGTCATTGTGGCTGGTCATCGTCCGTGGTATAGCACCGAATCTATGCATCGTTGTAAAGCGTGCCAAGATGCATTCGAAGAACTGTTTTATAAGTATTGTGTCGATTTAGCCGTATTTGGACATGTGCACAACTCACAGAGATTGCTGCCTGTTTTCAAAGGGAAAGCTGATCCACGCGGCATGCATAACCCCAAAGCCCCTATGTATATTATTTGTGGTGGTGCTGGTAACATTGAGGGCCTGATTCCTATTCGTCATAAGCCTTCTTACACCAAGTTTGCTTACGCCGAGGAGTACAGCTACAGCACGCTGAAGTTTCTGGATGATAAGCACCTCCAGATTGATTTCATTCGCTCATCAAACGGCGACGTTCTGGACTCTAGCACATTGTACAGAAGTCATTCCATTCCATTTGTCAGTCAGTAAACCTGGGGCTGCGTGCTGTGATGGATATAGTACTTTGAATTGACTTTTTGAATGTATTTCAGTACAGCACTGTTCAATATAGCCACATTTGAATGATAGCGCTTCGAACCAATGAATTTCTAAATCTTTTATCGTTCCTACACTTCTTAGTTGAAGTGGGCAAAATCGTTGAATTGTACTGGAGCAAGATCAAGATTTGAGCGCTGGGTGTAAGAAGTGCGCCTAGGGAATTGAATGATTGTGAAGTACATGACCTTGATTAAAGCCATGATTGAGAGCCTAATTAAGCTGTGGAGCCAACATTCTTGGGGGTGCTATTCACCATTCACCACCTGTTGAGACTGAACGGGATTCAGCTTGATTAATAAACTGTGTGGGTGACCTCGGGATAGTTCAATGGTTAATAAGCGAAACACGGTCCCTTGTTCACTGAATACGACATGAAGCTAGTGAAGCACCAATGCACAGTCTATAGACCTGACCCAGGAGGGCGTTGTGTACTTCCAACCGAATATTCTTTAGTCATAGTGACTTACGGCCTGAACATGCGAATTCTCCATGATCTGCTTCTTGCTGTGTTCGATCGTCTTGGCAATTAGATAAACTTCTTCTTGACCCTGGCAGACTTCTAGGGTGACAGGCTCGCTCTGAATATTGATAGCTTCGCTCATCAGCCTGCCGTATGGAATGACAGAGAGGTGTATTTCTGGGAACAGCTAATACAACAACTTTTCAATCAAATATTAAGTCTCCGGGGAACGATCGCCCAGCTACTCATCGAAGAGAGGATCGATATGATATACGAACTCTATAAGTTCGACCATACCAAACAAGATGCTATTACTCAGAAAGGCTCTCCTGGAGTAGTTGACAGCAATGCAAATAACCGCTAATCTCATACGGAAGCCTTCGTCCAAGCCATTCCTCTTCCCAAGCCTGGTATCCTGTCGGATTCCGCGTAGAAGGAAAAATGCTTCAAAGGAGGTCGCTTCGATGACACAAGCTGGCAAGTTTGCGAAACTTCTTATATGCCTTAGAAGTTCAGTTTGCCTCGCTATCAGTCTCATTTCAACCTAGTAGAGTGATTCTATCTTTTGGAACATCTTCCTATGGGTTGAGAATTTGATAATGCAGTCAGAGCAGCAGCACAAGAAGCAGATAGCAGCCCATAGGCACAGGCACACTTTCTCAATCGTCTAATGGCGCATCTACTTTTTCAAGGACAAGAATTTGACCTTTTGTAGGACATTGCACCTGTTACAGCAGTACTGTAGCAGTTCTTTGGTCCTTTGTTAGACGTGCTCTTTCATGATGCCTCTATATAGGCGTCATGCTGGCCAGTTTAGAGAGATCATCGATCTCTCTCTTCCTCTGATTCTTCCCTACATTTGTAGTTGATCATTATTTCAGCACAAATATGTGTATATGTAAATCACGCTCTCTTGGAGGCTATGGGATAGTGGAAGTAATGAAGTAAAGAGATGTAGTCAAGATAGCTGACTAGGCCGGGAACGACAATCCTTCAAGGGCGGTTTATCACCAAAAGCATCCACAGCTCATCATCTGAATAACGGCCGAGACTAGCTTAACTCATTCCAACTGATGAAATGGGTTAATGGGTTAGTCTAGAAACGCCATCGCGACAGTTCGTGGGACCTTTTGCCATCAGCATTGCTAGCAAAGTCTGGATAATTTTCCCGCTAATCACACATCACCCTCGAGATTCTTTTTGGCTGGAATGTCAGCTCTAGATTGTGATACATGTGTAGTAAATTGAAGTTCTGCTCAAGGAAACAAGCAAGGAAACATTCTCCGGAACAGTGACATTCACTGATTCTGCTTTTAGCTTAGCAAAAAAGACTTCTATAGTAGGCAAGTCAGACGCTGGGACGAGAAGGAAAAACTTCCCACGATCTAATTCATGTACCGAAACAAGGTCACCAGTATGTAACCATGAGATTTTACAGCATTAAAGTTAATGAGTATTATCAAGGCCGGCCCTCATGTAGCGTCGGACTGCTCTAGCGACGAGTCTCCATTTTTACTGCTTTTTTACTGCTTTTTTGTGCTTTGTGACGGCAGATCAATTGTCACCAAATCTAGAATGATTTCAACTTTGAGGTTCGGGCGGCATTATCAGACTTTCCACCCTGGTTTCCTCTCCACTTTCTCTACAAGACTGCTATGCTGTTTAAATGTGCTTTGAAAATCACGGCCTATGCCCTTCAATATAGAACTGGGCGGAAGCGGATAGACTGACGTACCGTGTGGATCTCGCAATTCTCATCCCACCTTGACTGACAAGCGATACGTTATGACATGAAATTCTTGGTCTCATTATTGCATTAAGCTCTAGATACGTCAACTGTTCCGCTATCTTACATCGATGGGATCATGACTAGGGCGACAGAAGTACCAAATATGACATAAATAAGGCCGTGTCTTGGGGTAATCTATCTGATCCTAAAGTCTCAGATTTATTCCTCAGAACCCAATCCACTTGCTGTGAATCTCTAGTATATTATTTGTTGAACTACTGGGTTTCATTCGTTGTGAAAACAAACATGGAAAACTGTTGAGGCTACTAACTATGGGGAGAGAGAGAGAGGAAGAATCATGATCTATTCAATCTGTCTGAAGCAGGGGATTTATACCCTGCCAAACAAAGAAAGACAGGTTCAGTCTGCAAACAAATGGAGGCATCAATGAGATGGCTAGACAAAGGCATCAATGGGATGACCGACATAGTCCAACAAAAACACCTCTCTCTCGCCTCACGGTGACCATGAAGTCAAATCCGATTTCTTCCAAGGAAAACGCATTACCCTCACTGACGCCTGGAGGGTCGGTTTTATGCTTCGTGACAGTTATCTCACGCTCCGAAATCATAGTGCCATCACGACATTGAATGCTGAGGTTGTCAGCGAGGGGACCTTCACATTACAGGCGACTTCGATTAGCGAAAACAACTATATCCAAGTGGATGGCGACAAATTCAGAGCAAACGCAGATTCTTCAAAAGCTGCTCAATTCAGCGCGAAACACACTGCACTCGGGTTTGAACTTTTCTATGATAACCAAGCACCCGCTATCTTTGACCGTTATTATGATGTTGGGATTGGGCCATGGACGAATAAGTTGCAGAGCTCGCAAACCCCTGTCATTATGTGGGTGGGGTCTCATACGGAGATTTGGGGTTCCTATCCAACGATATCGCTATGATTCCCTCCCCCAAGCAAGCGGAAATATTGTCTCATCATTGACGGCGAAGGTTCGCACCAGTGGGTAGGACATCAGTGGAAGTGATATACTTAGTATTAGGCTTGGCATTTCCCACGGGACTAAAATTTTCAAGTCCCATAGACCATGCCCATTAGTCCCATGGGAAATTTAGGGGTGGTCAATGCCTCCCATGGGAGTCTTTGGGAGTCTTTGGGAGTAATTAGAATTCCTTTAGGACTAGCTAGAACTATATAAAATTCACTACTAAAAATATAACTCCTAAAAATCCAAGTATAATCCGACGCTAACTATAAAAACGAGTGGAGGTCTGAAAATTAAAGCGAGTGGCCGTAGGCCCACTCTTTTTCTCCTATACAAAAATGCAAAACCCTAATCCAAGTCACGGTGACTTCCCCCTCCCCCATGGGGTAGGGATTAAGCGAAGAAATAAAGTTATTCAATTAAAAAGCTAGAACAATCGTAAATAATAGTATCCTATTCTACTAAGTTAGCATCTTTATAAACGCTAAGACTAGTCTTCCGCACGACCTAGTAATGGGTCTAGGGCCCCAAATTGGGTTAAAAACTATGTAAACACGCTAATTATGTGTATAATTCTGCTGATTTTGTAGGTTTATGACCGCCAAGTCCCCTTTTCATGTAAAAACTGGGTCAAACTGGGCCTAAACTGGGTTTTCTGGCGCCCTAGTCACTATGTCCGGGTTAGGTCTGGGTTGGGTCGAAGGTTCCGACCCAAAATAGTCCTGCCGAAGTCTCGATAGGAATATAACTCGTAAAAGTCCAAGTATGATCCGACGCTAACTACTAGATCGACTAAGGGTGTAAAAATTAACTCCACTAGGGGTAAACCCGCTTTTATTCTCCCATATAAAAATATAAGACCCTAATCCGACCTCGCCCTTAGTCGGCCCTCCCCTATGGGATAGAGGAACAAACTCGGTTGGTTCGGTGTTTTACCTACTAATTCAGGCAGATCTCAAACCCTCTACTAAGAGCAAATATATCCATAGCAGCGATAACGGGCTTTTTGCCTTTGCGTTAGCTCAGTCCCATAAACCTTGATGGTGGTTGTTTCATCACGGCGAGTTGGGCCGTAGTCTTGGGGCCCCGACGGGAGGTAGCTTGTTCTGTCAAATCTTGGCCAGTATAGAACGCTTTGTCGCCAGCTCTAGTAACAAGTAATTTTGGCTCATCATCTAACCAGGAAAATATGCTATGGCCTTCCTAATGAGCCTCGGCGGGTAGTGCATTTCGTTGTTTCTCACAATTGATCCTCACTAGCAGCACCTTTGGCATTGGAAATGATAATCTGAAAGTCTTCGTCGGTGGCTGTCGTGAGTGAATATCGCATATGATTGTTGTCGTAAGTGAAGTTCGATATATTGTATTTTATATTGTGGGTTCAGGCTCTGGGGTAGTTGGGGGAAGGATTGTGGAGTCTGGGGAAAGCTTTGGCAATCTAAATAGGCTATATGATAGCAAACATAGTTATAATAATGCCAAAAAGAGGAAGATTTCATACAGCCGGCTTTATAGCCTCTCGGAACGCGATGAGGGGAAAATCTAACGTACCTCGGAAGCTCGGCTACCAACTATTTGTTTATAAGCAGCCCCGAGGGTGAATAATGAGCGGTTTCACAAATTTGGAAGATCTTCTCAATTCATCATGGCATCCCAATCTTACATTTTGGGGGTGGGGATGACCCAGTTCCTTAAGCCACGTCGCACTCGTGAATGTGAGATTATTCCTTTTCACAACTATATAATGTTGCTCACCATGTCTTTTTCTTTACAGATCCAGAACTTGGATATGAGGCAGCAGTCAAAGCTCTAATCGATGCGCATATCACCTACGATGATGTACAGGCAGGTGTAGCCTGCTATTGTTACGGCGACACGACTTCTGGTCAGCGGATCATGTACCAGCTAGGAATGACGGGGATCCCGATATACAACACCAACAACGCATGTGCTACCGGTTCTACTGGCCTTCATCTTGCACGTACTCTGGTCAAAGGAGGCCAGGCAGATTGTGTCCTCGTTGTTGGCTTCGAACAGATGCGCCCGGGGTCAATCAAGAGTGTATGGGACGATCGGCCCAGTCCGTTGGGTCCATCGACCAAAATGATGGAGGACACATTCGGTAAACACCAAAGCCCTCGAAATGCTCAGTATTTTGGAAATGCGGGACAAGAGTACATGGACAAGTAGAGCCCCCCGCGACCTAGATCTCAACCTTGTGCTGAATACACAAACAGATATGGTGCCAAAGCGGAAGATTTCGCTGAAATTGCTCGGGTGTCGCATGAACACTCCCAGCGAAACCCGTACGCCCAGTTCCGAACTGCATACTCTCTGGATCAGATTTTGGACCCAAAGACACAGATCTATGGACCCCTGACGAAGCTCCAGTGCTCTCCAACGAGTGATGGTGCAGCAGCGGCCATCATTGTATCCCAACGGTTCTTAGATGCGCGTCCTCACCTAAAATGCCAGGCTATTCTCATAGCCGGTCAGCAGCTGTTGACCGATGGGCCAGAGGTATATTCCCGGAGCGCAATAGACCTCGTCGGGTTCAACATGTCGCGCCAAGCTGCTCAGCTGGCGATGCAGGAGGCTGGTGTTGAAGCAAAAGATATCAAGGTTTGCGAGCTTCACGACTGTTTTTCCACCAACGAGCTTCTGTTGCTTGATGCACTTGGATTTTCGGAGCCAGGAAAAGCCCACGAGATGGTTCGTCGGGGGGACATCACGTATGGAGGTCGTGGCCTAGTCGTCAACCCATCTGGCGGGCTGATCTCAAAAGGTCACCCTCTAGGGGCCACAGGGCTGGCTCAATGTGCGGAGCTCACTTGGCAGCTTCGCGGTTGGGCCAATAATCGTCTGGTCTCCGGTACTGATGTGGCCTTGCAACACAACCTCGGGTTGGGGGGAGCAGTGGTGGTAACTATCTATAAGCGAGCCGATGGACAGGTCAGCCGTCCCATTCCAGATGAGGATATTAACAGGGTTTCTGGTTTGGGATACAATCCCGCAGTCGAAGCTCGGTATATCACACCTCAGGACGGCGAACGCGTCCGTAGCAAAACAAAGCATCACGAGTATCCGCTCCAAGAAACGGCCGAGAAGCTGAAAGCGCGCATCTAAGAAATACGAATCAATCATGGCCTGTGGAAAAATTGAAAGACCGGTCGCTATATTGAGAAAACCAAATAAAAAAATGAATAAAGTGGACTTGGAAGTTGTGGTCGAATGAGAGAACGGGAAGAGAGTAATCAAGGGATGAAGAACATGATCAGTTCAAGACGCATCATTCAGGTTGGACCCGAGGATTTTAGGGTTTTTGAAGTCAAGATGGAACCCATGTTTTGAATTCCAATAGGGATGATGATGGCGAAGGCTTGGTGGTTGAGGGGGAGATCTCTCCAAGGATAGGAGAGTAAATGGCAAGCCTCAGGGAGCGATAAAACGTATAATATAACCACTCCTAAGCTTTCTCTTTCTACAGTAGTCTACTAAATGAGCCAGTATTCACTGTAACATTATACCTGATATATACACTATCGACTGAGATTTTAGTGTACTCCTTTGCGTGATCCCCTCGAATTCAAACTCCGCAACCACCTCTGCCAACATCCACCTAAGGACATGCAATCAAAGGGCAAAACACTTTTGCTAAATCACAAATTGGCAAATCTGATACCGGACTTCTGAGCCGTAAAAGTGGAGATCAGATCCATCAACACCGGCGACAACACGTCGTATGTCTGCAGTCCAACGGTCTTGAATTTGGCTCTCACTTCATCCATTTCTTTGGGGTGGGAACCCTGTTCAATGATGGACGAGACGAAACCGGCAAATTGTGGTTCCTGCCAGCCCTTTTCTTCGGACAACTCCACGTGTACAAAATCGAGGCCCTTGAAAGGATGGTCCTTCTCGATACGCCCGAAGAGGTGCACACCGCAGTCCTTGCAGGCATTGCGTTGAATGGTAGCTTCTTTGTCCACAATCGCAAGCTTCGGGGCATTCGCTGTCACCGAGACGGCGTCTCGGGGTACAACACCAACAATGGAGAAGAGAGAACCGGATGGCTTCCAACATTTGGAGCACCCACAGGCGTGGTTGTGGGCAACATTGCTAGTCAGAGTGATCTCGACCTGGTCGGAGGCGCAGCGACAGTGGAGCTTCCCACCGGAGAAGTTACTAGAGCCTGGTGTGATGCCATTGTCGATGAGAGGGTGAAGAGAGGGTGCCATAGTATTAGGGTTTGTAAAATGAATGGGTATAATCGAGGTTTACTGAACAGTTTAGAGCAAATGTCGACCACCATTTATATATAATATAAGCCCCAAAATCAATACTCAGATCCCCTCACATCTCCTCACGAGGGGTAACCGGGGCCGTTATCCCGCAGTATATGGGCACGATGGTATACATAGATTGCCAATTTCGGGGGGTTCGGATCCTGAATGGGGAAATAATTTCCCTAAATTTTTAGTCTCGGGATCTATACCGATCTTTTTTTTTTAAGGGGAAAAGGGAAATTCGTCATGAGGGGTTTCTTAAATCTCCAATTCTCTTATATTGTATGTTGTTTTTATAATTGTCGAGAATATATCAAAAACATCCATGGATGTTGAAGATGTTGAAGTTTTTCCATTTTTGGAAATTAGAGCTGACAAAGATGACCTTCCGCCACCTTCAAGAGGCTTTGATAAATCGCATCTTGGTTGAACCTTTGAAAGTTGGGAAATTTGAAACTTTTGACTTATTGACTTATTGACATCTTGACTCGTTGACTCTTTGATAGTTGTATTTCCTCCTTTCCAATCTATATTCTCCATGACCAAAATCCTGGAGACTTCAACTCTTTCGCATGACGTCATCGATAAGGAACAAGCCGCACGGACGGTTCAGGTACGGTTTGTTTGGGAGGTGGTGTTGTCGATTTCCGCTGAGCATCATTAGAGAATCTATCGCGGTCATCGAACGCGGCGAGAGTTGCGTGGACTCGGTTTAGCTGCTTCCACCCGATGGGTTGAGGTAGGTTTGTGTATTTTGCGCGAAACCGACTGAATCTAATCTTGTTTCTCTGGAGGCCTTCCGAGAAGCCCAGTGGCAGCAACTCCATCGACCTCCAGAACCTCGCGTGGCACCCGGCAATGATGGCTTCAACCAAGCTCGTCGAAACTGGCAACGAGCGGTTAGTGTCGCTAGGCGCGTCGGCGGAGACGATCGTGTATCGGAAGTTTCACCTTCCACGACGAATCGATCAGAGCATAACACAGAGATGGCATCGGGTGCTACGGCAAAGATGATGGACCTTCAATACTTTCTCGAAATGGTCGACCTCAAACATCGACATGGAAGCAATCTGCGCTCGTACCACACGTATTGGCGGAATTCATCATCTAACGAGAACTTCTTCTATTGGTTGGACTATGGCGATGGAAAAAACATTGAGCTTCCACAATGTTCACGAGAAAGACTCGAGAAAGAACAAGTCCGCTATCTCACTCGTGAAGAACGTTTGAATTACATGGTGATGGTAGATGAGACTGGGCTCTTCCGCTGGGCTAAAAACAATGAGCCAGTGTGGACAAATACGGCACGTTTCAAAGATAGTCTCCAGGGGATTGTGGGGATCGAGGATGATGTGCCTCAATTCAGTGGGAACTCCACAATTCTACAACCAGATTCCGCCTGGGACTCATCACCGTCAACGTCATGTTCATCATCATCAATATCAACATCTGCAAGACAAAGTTTTGACCTAATCCCAAATCAAGATCCGAAGCATTTCACCGATGAGGAGTACAAAGCCACGAACACGATGAAAAACCTGGTACACGCCAGCCCCGCTGCTGCATTTAAGCGACTTTTGGGCAAGTCCTCAGAGAAAGAAGAAACGTGGCTATTCGTGAGTCAGGTTTGGATTTGTGGTTGTTGAATGCAGACTAAACCATCCTTAGGTTGCAGATACCTCTTTTCGTTTGTACATTGGCATAAAGAAATCAGGTGCCTTCCAGCATTCATCTTTTCTTCGAGGTGCCCGTATCGCAGCAGCTGGAATGATCAAGATCAAACACGGCCAACTTCGAAGCCTGGCACCACTCAGGTGAGTTCAATCAAAATATTCATTCATCAACTTCCATCATTGCTTGAAAGGGCAGGCTAACCTGCTCAGTGGTCATTATCGCCCTCCAGCTGCTAATTTTAGAGCATTCCATCATGTCCTACAGCAACAAGGCGTTGATATGTCCCATGTTTCAATGAGCAAGTCTTACATCATGCTCGCTGGAATTGAAGGTTATACCAAAACAAAACGAAAGGCGCGTGCTGTACATGAGAAGGTCGACACTTCCAAGCAAAAGTTTCATCAATCCCAAGAATGAATGAGTGCGGGGACACATGATTTCTATTCCTCCATATCCTAGCGCGCCGAACGAGATAACCCAATTATCGTATTTTTTTTGTTGTGTAATCTCAGTCAACATGGAAAATTCGGATTGTATGTTGTAGAGTCTAAATCTTGTCACACTTGGGTTGCATGGCCGTCGCATGTGGGTACAACCAGAGAAAACAGTCGCAGAACTTAGACACCGCGAGATTGCGCAGCAAAATCCTCGAGATCGTGATTGGAAGGTCCTGCACAGATGAAGGTGGTCGTAACGAAGGCTTCAATGTGTCTTGCGAAGCAGACCTTGCCCAAGTGAAAATCCGGTGGGCAACGAAGATCCTATGATCCACGTTTCATGCATTCTCCTGAGCATGGGACTCACTTAGCCTTACACATTGATAGAATCCGTGAAAAGTGGTGATTAGAAACAACCATTGGAGATCGTGTCATCGCAGACTTGTGGGGAAAACTCATGGAAACGCCATTATCTGTCCCGGACAGCAGCGTGATTCTTCGCTAACGATCTGCCCGATCTCATCGTCTTGGAACAGAAAGCAATGGCCATGCTCCTCCATCGCCGTGGACAAAATGACCAATTGCATCGCGCGCAGTTGATTTCCGAGTCGGATCCATCATGGACCGAGAGTCCACTACGCCGATGGGCATTACGCGAACTGCGGTCCTGTACACAACAAGATGTACACCATACATATAGGTATTTACAATATAAACAGAATGCGAGATATTCACAGGTTGAATTGAGTGGCGAATAATACATGTATAATCTTGAACGTTTCAATTTGCCCGGGGAAAATTTCCGTGTCTTACATAATTTCAGTGTTCGGAGTCCTCGGGCAAAATACCCGTGAATTCGAAGACTCGTAGCCTCGTAGACTCGTGAACTTGTGAACACTTGAACTTTGCATCAAATTTATATAAAAGCAATGGCCAAGTCCAAAGCAGCCAAGCGTAAGCGCAACGCACAAGTCGACCTTCCACAAAAGCTTCCAAAGCCAGTCCCGAATCTAACACCGCCTCCCGATGGCGTACCTCACGAATCCACACATCTCAATGCCGTCGTCTCAGATGAGGAACTCGACATCACGATCGAGACGCTCACGGCGCTTGCACAATATCCAAGCCTGACAAAGTCAAAGGCATGCAAGGACCTCCGAGTCGCTGTCTATGACTTCCGCCAGACATGCACTACGGGTGTTAACACTGCCGGTATGAACTCTGTACCTAGGTACTCAAACCTTCCTAAACTAATCCCTAAACAGATGGCGCCAACTTAACAGCCCGAATAACCGGTGCATTGGTGGACGAGAAATACATTGAAGCCAAGATCTTGCTCGCTGAGATGAGGATCCGTGGTGAACAACCCAAGATCGGAGCCTTGTGTCGCTGGGTACGAGACCTGGATGTAGTCAGCGGCCTCTCGACGCAGCCCAAAGCGCACGATCATGTCCCTCATAAGCGCAGTGTGAAGGAAATGGAAGTTCTCGGTGTCCTTGATGCCATCCTGCGCGTCAGCACCCCGATTGACACCAACACGAACGCCGTTGACTCAACCAATCCCATCGCCTTCCAGTCCATCTGGGACCTCCGCCCCTCGACGATAGCACTCCCGGTTTATGCCTCGGTCCTCGACAAATCAATTTTGGACGAGGCGCCCGAGTCTCCATCCGCCCTCCGCATCATCGAACAAACGCCTGGCCCACTCCGCAAACCCCCAAACCACCATCCCGCCATCCTCTATACCACCGCCCCGAACGCAGTCCCACTGGCTCCCGTCAGTCCTTCCATAACATACCACGCACATCCCGCTGTGCCAGGCCTCGGGCTTGCTCTCAATGTGCTATCCCCCGCTGAGTGCAAGGCGATCATCGCTGCCGGTGAATCAGTCAATTTCCTGCCGGACGCGCCCCTTCGTGAAGATGGAGACATCAGCATCCTAGCCCACAACTTTTACTGGATCATTGATACCAAATTCCACGACATGCTTTGGGCGCGCATTTCCCCTTATGTGCCACCCTCAATCAACGGTCGCATGGTCCGAGGCATCAATCGTCGCTTCCGTGTGTACAGGTACGTTCCCGGAGCTGAATATCGCTGTCACATTGACGGAGCATGGCCACCGTCTGGTATTCTTCCTGATGACACCTACGTGTACGACTCTTCGCCCGAGGAAAGGAAGCAGAGCTCGATGTATACCTTCCTACTATATCTCAACGATGAGTTTGAGGGCGGAGAGACGACGTTCTTCATGCCAGCCCCGCGGGAGGGAACCCTCAATGGATACCCAGTGCGACCTGTGATGGGAGCTGTTGCGATATTCCCACATGGGGAGTCGAATGGAGCATTGCTACATGAAGGTACAGGGGTGAGGAAGGGGGCCAAATACATTATTCGGACTGACGTAGAGTATGATGTGAAGCCCTGCGAAGAGTGATGATCAAGAACATGAATTATGTAGAATTGGCCTTTTGCCAACAAAATGCCATTGAAAAAAGGTCATGGTAGTGTTTAATGGTTGAAACGAGAGCTCTCAGGAGTTACAAGGTATGTATTTTTTCTTTCTTTTTCTTGAAGATCTCAATCAAATAATAAGAAGTGTTAGAATGATGTTCGCCAATACCATGCCCATCCCTTCCGCGCCCGTCACAATTTACTTGAACTCATGACACTGAGCGTCTTTATATAACATAGGTAAATGTTGTACCTTGAAATGCCAGTCAACGCTCTGAAATGGAGTTTTTTTGCTTCCAATGAACCCCTCGAGGGTGCTCTCATTGGGAATCGCAGGGCATCGGCGTTTAGAGGGTTGCAAGGATTTACAATCGCATTCCATCTTTGGCAGGGCAATTGTAGTATTCACAACCTTTGACATTTTTCAACTCTAACATGATATCAGACATCACATCTCTAGAGGGCTGTGGACCTTCAGGTATGATAATACGTAGTCGAATCTCCTAGATAGCGGCCAAAGGGGGGAGACACCGTCCTATTAAGAAGCAGAGACTACCTTTGATATGAAAGGAAATCATATCACTTTTGACCTTCCTAGGAACCAAGAGAGAAAAACTTCACCAACAGGACATTGTACACTTGTTCATTTATTGGTATATACAAAGCATTTCTCCGGAGTCAAGCCTATTCACCAACTAACCTCCTTAGTTGAAATTTTCTTCAAGATGTTTGTTATAGGTGTACCCAGAGTTCTTTATTCTGCTTCCTCTTCCTTGCAACAGCGCACCTTTCAATGGCGGAGTGTTGTCATGGAGTGGGCAAGAGACTGCTCGACAGATGCCTTGAGCACTAAAATCTGCAAGAAACTATGCGCAGACGGATCGAAGCCAAGCCCTTTTTGCGGGAAAGGAAGTGAGTAAATCCATTTGATCTTTGACGAAAAAAAAAAGAATGTGATCTTCTTGGCTGCAACTGCAATGAGGGATGTAAGTAACCATGCTGAAACTGAGCCCCTGGGCACACGATCGGACTGTCTTGGTTTCATTGAGCTTCTGCCCTTAACTCGAACTGATACATTGGAACATGATGGCTTGAGAGAATTAATCTATTTTCCTTATCTTGCTCAGAGAGAACTGCTCGATTTTTCTCGTCATGGATGCAAATGCTGTGTTTCCGAATCCCATTTGGGCAAGTCCACTGTACATAACGCTTGGGGTTTGCAACAGAGATGGATAATGGACTCAGATGAAGTTGCTAAAAAAAATAGACTATACAAAAGAATTAAAAAGATTATACAAATTCCGTAGCTCACCAGGACATTCCAAGTAATGCTTTCCACAGTCGGACTCTTCGAACTTATCTCACGCCTTGACCTCTTCACTGAGAACAACGTCATTGGCGGCATTATCGCCACAATCGGAGTTAGATTCCCTCACCTGCATTGCACGCCTTTGCATAGCGCGAGCTACACGAGGTGGGTCGAAGATAGATTTGGACTGCGCGAAAATCTCGTCGATCTCTTCCAGTGACCGCCCCTTGGTCTCGGGGAAAAAGAAATACACACTAGGCACGATAGCAGCGTTGACAACGGCGAAGATGATATAGTAACGGTTTCCGATCGTGGAGAAACCAACAGGGGTTACCTGAGCTATCATGAAACTGAAAGCCCACACAGTGGCAGTGGATACCGCATTCACTGCGGCACGGACCTGAAGAGGCGCCATTTCCGCGGCGTAAAGGAACGTTAGACCGCAGTAGCCAACTGTGAAGATGAATTGGAAGCAGAACAAGAAGACCACGGCCATGGCGAGGGCTCCAGTGTTATTGGCTGCGGAGGGGGAGGTCGTGCCAGCGAGGCCTGCCATACAGATTGCCATGGCTCCGGCACTCCACAACATGAGAGGGCGGCGGCCGAGACGGTCGATGGTGAAATAGGCGATGTAACCACCGAGGGGTTGCATCATTGTCATTGCAGCAGCGAGGACCCGAGAGTCCACAGCGTCCATTCCAAGGTACTGTTGGAAAATAGTTGTTGCATAATAGGTGATCAGATTCACACCACACATCTGCTGGAACATCTGGCCCGTCGCAGCGAGGTATGCGCGGTGAAACAGCCGCTGCTCCCCGTTTTTGAACATGTCCATCCATGATCCCGGGCAGTAGGCAAGAGATGTCTCGATGCTGAGAATGTTCTCATTGACATCATCCGAATGCTCATCGAGATCGAGCAATGCCGCGAGTACTTTGCGTCCTTCCTCCACCTGTCCGTTCTTGATGAGCCAGCGAGGCGATTCTGGCAGCATTGTGATGAAAATCATTGTAGTAACCGGCATAACGATTTGGAAGGCGAGAGGGAACCGCCAGGAGACGGAGTTGTCTTTGACGAAATAGAAGCCCAAATCAATCCATAGGGCAAGAGTCACACCAATCCCAACAAAGATGCCATCAGTGACAACGTTGGATCCTCGTTTATGCGCTGGCGAGATTTCAGATTGCCAGACCGGGACCGTCGCCACATATCCACCGATGCCCAAACCGAGGACTAGTCTCGCGACGATAAATTGGGCAAAATCGAAAGATGCTGCCATAAGGATGGCGCCGATGATACTGACGAAGTTGGTTATGAAAATCACCTTACGTCGGCCCCAGAGGTCACCAAGGTAGATGCATGATAGGGCGCCAAAGATACCTCCGACGGTATAGAGGGCGATGACGGTGCCTGTTAGAAAATTTGATTAGAGAGTAGCAACAAGCCCTAAAGGTGGCGACCAACCTTGCATTTGTGAGTTCTCTTTGTTTTGTGTCCCGTGGGTATGAATTGTGTCCATTCGGGGAAATTGCGAATTGAATGCATCGAGCGTTAAGAGACCACCGGTCACTCCCATGTTGTACCCATAGCAAGTAAAGGTTGGGCATACGACCAAGAAGAGGGCGGCGCGGAGAAGGGCATTTCCCCGAAGGCCAAAATACGGCTTCAAACCCATATTGAGTGAGGAACTACTATACAATTCCAATTGTCAAAAAAAAATTTAAAAAAAAGCAGCGATGCCAAGAAATATTTTTTTTTTAATTCCAACCTTGGAAGATCCACGCCAAGTACCCATTAGCATTCATCTGGTCTTCATAAGTGGGCCCCAATATATTACTCGGAAACTGCATGCCCAGTATTTTAATAAAACCTCCTGGAAGGAAACGGGCTTCCGTCCTGTGAGCAACTTCAACAGCGTTGCTAGTTTTGGTTATATAGCCGCGCGCGACCATCTCACCACAGCATACAAGATCATCCACACAGAGAGAGTTTCATGGGAAGCAACGATGGGTCCGTAACAGAAACGGAAGCCCACGCCTGATCCACCATTCCCTTAATTCGTCGTCGGGCATATCGACAAGCTGTCCCTTTACCCGAACAGTGTTGCATATCCAGTCGCATACCTCCTTGTTTGTCACAGCTTCCGGGCCCGTCACGTTATACACAGTGTTAGGCTCCCCACTCCCTAGGAGGAGAGCAGCGAGTACTCTACCACAGTCTTCACGAGAAACACAGGCACCATGGCCACCGTGTGAGTTTAAAAGCCCCCGGGCCTTAGGAGAAACTCATTCTTTTAGGCACCGTCTGGGTTGAAATGAAACTGGTCCCCGCAGAAGTTCCAAGAGGGAGCGAAAAAGTTGGGAATGTTATCTATGTAAAGGTAATCACGCTGGATGTTATATTCCATCCCAGAAGCAATGATGAGAGCCTCGGTTTGTTTATGGTCTCGCGAAAGGAAAGGTATGTCGTTTACATGAGCGGGGTCATCGGCGCCCACAAAGGACATATAGCAGATTCGTCGGACACCGCATGACTTGGCAGCGTTGATCACGTTTCGGCTTGCTCATATCGACGGCCAAAGGCCCAAGTCGATGTCAGGTTCACGGCTTCTGCGCCTTCAAAAGCCTGCTCGAGGCTGCTCACGTCGTCGTATGTGGTTTGGGCCGCCTCAACCCCTTTGGCTTTCCATAATTCGATGATATGGTCGGGGAGCGTTTTGAGATCGGAAATGGTAAACACTAAAGTGCTGTCTGGTTGGGAAATTTCCAGTGTTTATGATGCTGCAATGCTACCAATGTTTCCAGGGACACCGGTCAGGACGTACTTGGGCATGTTTGCTTTGGGGTGTAAGGCCTTTCAAGAACCGAGATCTTGGAAAGGATAGTATACTGGTTTCAGGTGTAAGGCCTGTCAACCGGGTAAGATACAATGCCTGAGAGGTGAACACAATCAATCAATCAGAGTTTAATTAACCTATTGCAGTCTAACTAGTTGCGTAATGACTATGCAGGGGCTTCGTCCAACTGAAGCAAGAACTCGAAGCCGAACGCCGAGTTGGGATCACTCCCAAAGAGTATACAGATGCTGATTTACAGAACATTGTAGAATCAGTCTATTCCTGTAAACCCATATCCTATACAGTCATATTCCATAAACCTATACATAAGAAATCAACAACGAGTGACATGGACTGCACCCTCTAGCTCCTCGGCAAGAAATATTTTCCTGGTTGATTCCAACCTTGGAAGATCCATGCTAAGTGCCCATTATATTTCCATATGAGGCGAGCAGTAACCCATGTTCATTTATCCTTCCAACAAAAACCTTGGAACTTTTAGAATACATAGCTTCCAAGGTTGGCATATACCCCGGAAAGTCAATCTTGGCTCACATCCATGGCCAACCCTAAACCTTGATTGTGCCGCAAGATAAGCGATCCCAATCACGGGATCGTGGATAGGCGGATTTCAGCCGCAGAACTTGCCGCCATTTCTTGACCTCAATTTGTACTTCCTTTTTTCTCCTTTTTAGTTAGGAATTGAACCGATCACTATGCAATTCTAGTCTACCACTCAGATTCTTGTTTCTGTTAGTTCTGAGACCCTCTTCCGACAAAGGGCTATCTCGTGTTTCCGTGTTTCAGCGCCCGATCCTTCCCGACCTCGGGAGGTCCAAGGTTGGGAAGGCCCGTGCCAAAAGTTACGGAATATGCGGAGACCGACCGGGGCATGGCTTGCACTGCACTATGTGTAAGGAAATAGTAGCAAGATGATGTCATTTGCCGGTAGATATCCAGCAGGACAAGCTTCTGCAGCCAGACAATATCCGAGACATGTTAATATTGATTCTTTTCATTAGGCAAAACAGCGAGATATTGATATTCACTATAAGTTGTAAAACACCCATTAACCAGAGCGAATTTGCTACCAATTTCTCGCTGGTATATCTCCTGGTCTGTGAAATGGTGCGCTTCTCCCATGTTTGATAGCATGCTTTGGGTGCCTCAAATGATAACTACGTGGACTAAGGTCGGCCGGATCAACGTGCAGAGAATGGCTGCCATGGACAGGTAATCCCCTGCAGTAAAAGCTTTCCTCCTCGTTTTTTGCAAGACCAGGGGCAGTGTCATCAGCCTTTGGAGGTGACGGATCTTTCCAGATTTATCCAAACCAAGCTCCTTATCATCTCTACCCCGTTCTAATTGGTATACCATCTTCAAATGCTGTCTAATAACAAGGCGGTGCTGGGTCGATGTGCGGGTCGAGCTCCCGGTCCTGTGGGTCATTTTTAGTATGACCTCGAGAGCGAATAAAATGTGAGGTGATCGCCATGTCGGGACCGGAGTTTTAGGGACGTCACTCATATGGTTTGATGCAGAAATTTTAAAATTCAATAACAGCTAGATTATGGATACAAGGAGACTATTAACGGTGAGTTCATTAGAAAGATCTCTTTACGGAGAAAGGGTGACCACGGCTAAGCCAAAGTAATATGACGAATATGGGGGGTATATTGATAAACACAAGACATTGAAACAAATGATAGTAGAAACCTCTCAAGTGGGCCCGACGTGATGGTCAAACGAAACCCAAGAGGAATGTGACCTTGCAGGCGATATTTGTAACCCCCGATCACTTTGACCAGACCTTTCTGGATCGGTGCCAAAAGCGGTAGTATTGTCGGAGTTCTTCCCACTCCAGCGTGAGTCGATGCGAAGATCATCATGTAGTTGTTCGACGTCTTCAATAACCGATGGATTTGTGCGGATCACAACAAGAAGACTGTTTAGTACCGTGAACTCTAGCATCAACTTGATACTGTAGGCCACTGGCTTGAAGGTAGTCTGCACGTCAAAGTGGTTCGTATACTCCGTCGTCAGGAGAGCTGCATCCAACAGAACTGCGAGAGCGTTGACGATAATGAGGTTGACAACAACTCTCTTACCGCGACGGCCCTTCATCGCCAAAACGGGCCTCAGGCTGGTCATGGTTTCCCAGATGTATAAACCACTGATAATCGTCTCTTGAGCGGCGAATCCGGCCAATTGAACACGCTCGTATATATCAAATGGACGGACAAAACTTTTGACATCAAGATTCATCCCAAGGAAGAGAACAGTGGTGGGAATATGCAAAACACAAAAGTTGAAGATGATCATGCCCAGCACCCAGCGGGTGTAGCACTCATAGTTCGTGACCAGATGTAGTCGTGAGTATAACACCACAGACTGGCCAGTGACCATAGCATACCAGCCGATACATATCAAAACACACATAGGGAAGTTAGGGGCGAGAGCGAAGTAGCGAAGGAATGTCGAAAGAGTGTGAAGAAGAATTCCCAGGGTGGCGATCACCATGCTCCAGAAGTAAAGACCGCGACGGCGTTGGAAGGTGTTGAAAATAGAAACCAGGATTTGGAGTACGTTCCAACATGCCAGGGCGAAGAGAGCTGCAATTACCATTGCAACCGCCCGAGATACATCGACAGGTCCCGTTTCACCTGTACCTGTCATATTGGTGAATGGTGAAGATCGAGCCAGCGATGAGTGTAGCAAGACACTCGAGTTGAAGATGCTCAAATTGATGAGCTGCGCTGTGGGCCGAAGCCGTTCATAGGAAATAGGAAAATGGGCATGGTGAGGAGTTGAACTTGGAGTTTAATCCCTGAGAAGAATGGGGGCAGGGGCGAAAGGGGCGAATTTTGAACGGTCGATCGCTGTGGAGGTGGGTTTGAGGCTAAAATCCAATGAGGGTAATTAGTGCATTTAGAGTTGAGCCACTGACTCCACTCGGGCAGCTACCGTTGGGCCAGAACAGCGCTGACATCATTGCCAAACCTTCTCTAAGATCGTCCCATCCTTCACCTTCTGCATTTGGCTGCGTTTCAGATATACTTGTTTTTAATCCATGTTTGCAATCCAAGCGACCATGTTTGAAATTCACATCCATCACTGTGTTTGAGAAGCAGGCCAACAATTGCGTTGTGTCCCCATGCCGCTGCTTGGGCAAGAGCACTCGTTCCAAATAGTTTCTTTGAATCCATCTCCAAGCCATGCTAGCCCAACATTTGCTTTGCTAGTGAAAAATTGCCGTGTCTTGCAGTCACTGTTAAAGGCGTGTTTTGGTGGTCTGTTACATTGATATCAAAATCATCAGCCGCAACTTACTCCATAGATGTTGCGGTATCACAAGGCCAATACATGAGTATTTTGATTGAAACGATATTATTACTTATCCAGGGGATTCAGCATGGGGAGTCTCAGACCACTGGTTTGCTAAGAGCTTCTCCCGCGGCTCATGAAATTCGCAATGCGGGCATGCGTGACGTTTCAGGGTACCGAGACGCCGCCAGTGTAATGATGCATTGCGGCGATAGCGCCAACGGTTGATCCTTTCCCCGCATGGTAGTTTTTCAGCTCAGGAGACCACCCTCAGACCCCCCTTCGTGCCAGCAGTAGCATAGCCCCAGTTTTAGCGCCCAAGTTGTGTAGACAAGCCAAGGAGCGCGTCTCGTTTGAAAAATAGACTCCTCTTAGCGGTTCCTATAATTTTTAGGGTTTTATTGAGATATCTAGAGTAAAAGCTATAAGAGAATTACTAAAAGATTATAGGTAAAAAAATATCAATTATAAAGTTATAGGGAAATAGTATATTTACACTACTTATCAAGGAATAGGCCCCTAATAGGCCCCCATGATAGGCCGTGGGAGCAAAAAAAATGTCTAAAGCCTATTGTGGGCTCTGCGGAAGCCTAGCCGTCACTGTACGTATGAACGACGTAGTATCGTTCCTTGTTATTCAGTGCGTATACGTGCCAGTGTATATAAAAGCAGCTATCTAGTGTCGGTCGCAACTTACCTTTTTACAATGATACTCTTTGTCATAATATATAAGTTTACCCAGTTTCCCAGCCCTTCCATTTTTGTTCATGACGTGCGCATTCCCTATGGAAATGAGCACTATGTGGTGGAAACCTATCAAGTTAGGTTAGCCAAACTGGAGACGATCGACTTAAGACCACTCCCACGATAGGGACAGGAGGCTTTCAGCGAGGTCGAGATCAGTTCGGACCGAGAAGTGGCAACAGGCGGGCCGGGGCTGTACGGTCGAAGTCCGACGTTGTCGTTTACTCGGATGCCGGACTACCTCCAGACGTTACGGGCACTTAGGCGCTCCCATTATCGCGCTCGATGACGACCTGGAGATGATAGACTTCCAACAAATCTACGTGGGACCGCTAAATCGGTAACTAGTCTGTTTATATCGCTACGCTTATCAGCAGTTTCTACACCCTCTGCTCAATTTACAAGCCGATATAATAGCGACCAAGCAATAAATGAGGATTCAACATCCCCTACGATCCTGTGTGATAGCACGTCAGCCCTAGGGACAATCCAAGAACTCAGGAATATATCTACTCAAACGATCATGCACGCCATATTACACGCGGCCACCGAGTCCAAGCGAAGGGGATTGCGCTTTGTCTCCAATGGATAATTGGACATTAGGACAACCTAAGAAATGACGCAGCAAATTGGCCGGCTAAGGATACGGCAAGGCCAGGAAAAAGCTTAGGGTTTTTAGGGTTTTAGGTATCCCTTCCGCCCTCTGCCTATAAGGGAAAACGCGCACACCCGCGACAATATCCGCGCTTAGTGGGGGCAGGAGTGGAAATCATCTACCAAGGGCGATCATCAAAGGAGAATCGTATGATGTACCTATCTGTCGACAAAAGAGGATCTCAATCTTACTAGCGCGCCCGAGGAATATTCAGCGCCGACATATGTCTGACTTGAAATATGTTAAGCCAAAAACCCCTTTTTGTTCTACATCTTCTGTAGTTTTAGAAAAAAACACACTCAAGTACTCAATTAGCTATGCCCGTAATAATCCATACTGTAAGACGTTCCCACAAGCTGTAGTCCGTACTGAGAAGGTATATGACATCACTAAATAATTTAGGCTAAGCACCGAGTTTTCCGTGGACTCGGGACAATTTTAAGGTTAGCGAAATTCGTTGTCATTCCACCAAGGTATCAATCATCAGCACAATTATTGAATAGAATAATGATTATAATAGATATACTAGATGATAATATCTATCCCGAGTAAAACCCGACCCAAGGTCAAAAGTCTCCGACAAGCTTTGACTTCGGAGGAATTCCACCGCTTGCGCCATGTCAAATATCTGGTTTTGGTGGAGACTTCACTCGGAGGATCACCCTCTGTGGTTTAGCTTAACATAAAATTTCCAGACGAGTTCCACAGACCTTCCAGAAGACGGCCGGATGCCTCGGCAATGGCAGTGATTAGGCTCGATGGCTAGTAGCCGATCTACACAACGTGCTGCAGAATTCTCTAGAACAACTTTAATACGTTTGGTCATCGTCTGATCCACACCTAGCAGAGACTTCATTGGTACTGTCGTGTTGAGAACTGACGGGAAACAGCACAGCTTAGGGGCCAGATGATGATAAATCCCAGACATGTAAAACTTGGAAGTTGGAAAAGCTATTTGATTTAAAAGGAGTGCCATCTGTCTTGTCCTCTTATCCCACACTACACTACTTCGTTTTCCCGCAAAATCACTTCTACGCACCGTCATAATGAGCGTCACTTTTGAGGTTTTCCGCGGCTCCAAGGAGGGCAAGATCGTGGCCGACAAGACCACCCGCACCCTACAGCCCAACGAGGTCTACATCGAGACAACACACTCCGGTCTCTGTGGCACAGACGAGCACTACCTCTCTTCCGGCATGGCTCTCGGCCACGAGGGTGTCGGTATCGTTCGCCAGCTCGGCCGGGACGTCACCAATGTCAAGGTTGGAGCGCGTGTCGGATACGGATACACACACTACGTGTGTGGAAACTGTAACAAGTGCTTGACGGGTACGAATTCCAAAAAAAAAAAAACAAGATCAACAACATGCTAATAGTAACCAGGCTGGGACCAATACTGCGAGAATAAGAAGGAATATGGCTCACACAACCACGACTTGGGCTCGTTTAGTGGCGGTATCGTTTGGGACGCCGGATGCGTCGTCCCCATCCCGGATGGCTATGACTCCGCCGATGCCGCGCCCTTGATGTGCGCCGGCGCCACCGTCTGGACCTGTCTCACAGAGTACGGCGTCAAGCCGACGGACCGCGTGGCGATCATGGGCATCGGTGGTCTGGGCCACCTGGCTATCAAGCTCGCCTCGGCGATGGGCTGCCACGTCGTTGTTTTGTCCAGCTCAGAGGCGAAGCGTGAGGAGGCCTTCGGGTTCGGCGCGTCCGAGTACCACGTATTCCGTAAGGGTGAGGAAATTAAGGACTTCAAGCCTGTGAACCACCTTCTGCTCTGCGGCAGTGCCAACGTCGACTACTCCAGCCTCATCCCGCTTATGGATGTGCACGGCTCAATCTACCCCCTCACTGTCGACTTTGCTCCCTCGCCCGTTCCCCTTCTGTTCATGAATGTTAAGGGCATCCGTATCCAGGGTTCGCTTGTTGCGTCGCGCAAGAGTCTACGCACATTGGTTGAGTTCGCTGCCGATAAGAAGATTACCCCGACTACCATGACCTTCCCCTTGACCAGAGATGGTGTCGAGGCTGCTATGCAGACTCTGCGTGATGGAAAGATGAGATACCGCGGTGTTCTGGTTCGGGAGTAAACGATGATTATGAGCATCGATAGAGAGGCTCTTAATAGTCAGCATGTATTATATTCACCCTATTAGCAGAAAATTCATAAATATTATTACCTGCCAGTTCTTTCAAATTAAAAGAGTATATGCGTGGTATTTTGTGATCCTTCATCCCCGCTGCGATCGGGTTCTCGGAGGAAGGAGCCCTGGGTATAAAAAAACCGAGAATAGGAAGGAGCAATGTAAACAAACCGAATATAGGAAGGAACTGGCTGCACATGTGTCTTAATCGTACAGGTTACGACGCCATCAGCTGAAGCATGCTCCAGGGCTACCTATGTAGGTACACACCATAGGAAACAAGGTCAGAAAATTCCCTGTGACTGAGAATATCTTCCACTTGCACCTGCAACTGCGACTACCAGGTTGCACTTGGGGATCTACCCATATCAACTTCAAATGAGTAACATTGGCATACGAATCAAAAGACTTTTCGTCTACGAACCCCTCTTTCTTGTCCCTTCGCTGTTTTTCGGCGATTTCTGAACATCCTCGGTCTGCATCCCCCGCACCGTGGGCTTTGGTGTCAAAAGGCCATGTTGATGCTGGATTTTAGTCCTAGTATGTTTTCATAGCAAATTCTTTCGACATGGCAGTTCTGACATACGTACGGAGACTTATCCGGTCTAAATCCCTTTCTAACATCCCCGTGTAGATTCCGCGAATCCCTCAATTGCTACCTCTTAAAGCGAGGAGTGTGTCACGCTGCATCCGATCACGATCATTACACGCGCGTGCGACCGAGTTTCTTCAAAGCCAGGATCCCGATCTATCCGAGTCCCAGCGAACGGTGCGAGAAGCCATTTCCAAAATATGTTTAGATTTCCCGGACAGTTACTGGGCCCAGATAGACGAGTCGCATCAATTTCCAACCGAACTCTACGAGGCATTGGCACGCCAGGGCTGGTTGGGTATCTGCCTGCCACAGCGATATGGAGGCTCGGAACTTGGCATTTCGGAAGCAGCAGTGATGATGCAGACTATTGCGGAATCAGGGGCAGGCATGACAGGTGCCTCGTCTATCCATATGAATATCTTTGGCCTTGAGCCAGTTGCCAAGTATGCGACCGAGGAGCAGAAAGAACGGTGGCTCACTCCGCTCATTGCTGGTCGCCACAAGGCCTGCTTTGGAGTCACTGAGCCCAATGCCGGCTTAGATACTCTGCAACTGCAAGCAACAGCACGCCGGTCGGGAGATAGCTATGTGCTGTCGGGACAAAAGGTCTGGATTTCCACTGCGCAGCGGGCTGACAAGATCCTCATTCTTGTGCGCACGACACCACGCGACCGAGTGAAAAAGCCATCACAGGGCCTGTCACTTTTCTACACAGACCTACAAGTTCCTCAGGTCCAAATTACTGAAATTCCCAAGATGGGTCGGGCTGCCGTTGACACCAATTCCCTTTTCTTCGATAACTGGCATGTCTCAATGGAGGACCGTGTAGGAGAAGAAAATGAAGGGTTTCGAATGATTCTTCATGGGATGAATGCGGAAAGGATTTTGATCGGCGCAGAGGCTCTCGGGCTGGGGTTTGCTGCCTTGCGTCGTGCGGCCTTGTATTCCAATGACCGGCATGTATTTGGGCGACCGATCGGTCAGAACCAGGGAATCCAGCATCCCCTTGCGGATAGCTGGATAAAACTGGAGGCGGCGCGTATGATGATCTACCAGGCTGCTCGGCTTTACGACCAGGGCTACACCGGTGGGGAGTATGCTAATGCTGGGAAATATCTGGCTGCAGAGGCAGCCTTTGAGGCTTGTGAGCGAGCCATACTAACACATGGCGGGATGGGATATGCGAAAGAATATCATGTTGAACGATATCTTCGGGAAGTGTTCATTCCTCGCATTGCACCTGTTAGTAGGGAAATGATTCTGAACTACATAGGGGAACGGGTGCTTGGTCTCCCAAAGTCATATTAAGTCATTTTTACTAGACTCGAATTTATGAATCTGCAAAGTTTTCGATTAAGCAAGAGCCGTGCAAGACCTAACACTGCTTTCCTGTATATATTTGCTTAGGGTTTTGTCTGTCGGTGAATTTCGGTGCTTTGCTATACAATTTCGGCAACCTGCCCCCTCTGTGCCTATATACCGCGGAACATCTCGATAGCCTTGGAAGCGGGGATATCTGTATATATCGTTAATTATGTGCGGGGGTAAGCTCACCACTTGAAAAAAGGATTTCATTTCATTTTTCACTCTACAGTACCCTGCCATCCTATTACTACTCTGAAAACATTTAAAGAGCAGGTATGGCAACAACTAGAACTGTTCTCAAAGGCTGTCCTTTAGTTGGGACTACCACGCAAGTGTTGGAGCATCGCAAAGATCGGATCCATTCAGCATCATATTGTTTAGGGAATCATTCTCAATTCTTTAGGAGGACTTCAACACATGCGAAGAGTCCCTTGTCGGGAATTCGAATTCTTGACTTGACGCGTGTCCTCGCAGTAAGTCTCTGGTATTGATACAACCTTGAAAGTGATCAATGCTTGACATATATCAGGGACCATTCTGCACACAAATTCTCGCTGATTATGGGGCTGAGGTTCTCAAGGTTGAAAACCCTAAAGGGGGTGTATGTTTTTGGCTATCTTTCTTCCGTCCTGTTTGGGTAGATTAGATACTCACCATGTGTATAGGATGACACTCGCTTATGGCGAACGGCAGACGAGAAACATATTTGGAAAACCACTGGCAAAGACATGTCCGCATATTTTTGCGCGATCAATCGGAACAAGCTGTCTCTCACCTTGAATCTCAAACAAGAGAAAGGCCGGGAAATCCTTTTTCGGCTTGTCAAAAATGCCGACGTGGTGTCAGTAATCCCACTCAATCTCAACCTAAAAATATCCCGTACTGAAATATCACAGAGTGGAAAATTTTGTTCCAGGAAAGATGGATAAGATGGGCATTGGGTACGAAAAGCTACGAGAAATAAATCCATTGATCATATATGCAAGCGTCTCTGGTCAGTCCTCGATCATCACGAATCCATATTCACCGTGAGTATATATTCCTGACTTCCATATAGGATATGGCCCTAGTGGTCCATATTCCCATCGTGCAGGTTATGACGCCATTGCCGCAGCCGAAGCAGGCATGCTACACATCACTGGCGAGCGCAATGGAACCCCAACACGACCTGGTCTCGGTCTCATTGATATGAGCACCGGTCTATATCTGCACGGGGCGATTCTCGCCGCGCTTTATGCTCGCAGAGATACAGGTCGAGGCCAAAAAATTGATGCATCCTTATTTGAGAGCGGGGTATCGTTGCTTTCTAATGTGGGGGTGTCATGGCTGAATGCTGGCGAACATGCGAAGCGTTGGGGTACAGAGCATCCAAGTATTGTCCCATATCAAGCTTTTAAGACAAAGGACGGCTACCTGGTTCTCGGCGCTACGAACAACCGCCAGTTTCAAACTCTTTGTCATTTGGTGAAACTCTCGGATTTGGCGACTGATCCCCGATTTGTTGACAACAGCTCTCGTGTCCAAAATCGGACCGAACTAAAAGAGATACTTGAACCAATCATCGGCGCGAGGCCGACAAAAGCCTGGCTGGCTGTCTTAGAGGGCAGTGGATTGCCATATGGACCTGTGAACACGATTGAAGAAGTGTTCTCACACCCACAAACCGCTGCTAGGGATATGGTTTACAGTCTTCCTTACGAAACGCTAGTGTCGGGGGAGATCAGAGTACTAGGTTTGTTCTTTATAAGGGCCTGAGTCTGCATACACTGATAGTTACTGGCAATCGTTCAGGAACCCCTGTCAAGTTTAGTGAGACAAAGCCTGAAATTCGACGATCGCCGCCAAGTCTAGGGGAGCATACTAATTCTACACTCGAGGGAATGGGATTTTCACCGCAGGAGATAGGGATAATGCGAGAACAGGGTATTGTGTGATGATCATGAGCTTTGGAATGCTCTAGTTCTATTTATACTAGCTTGCATTGGTGGCTTATGGATACGTTTCAATATGAGCTGTTGATGCTGAGCTTGCACTTTTTGATCTTCTTAGCCAACTCTAGCATAAAACTGGAGTACTGATCAACTCATCTCAAGTCATATCCAGGTACGATCCTACCAATTGGTGACCAATGTATATACATTTAATTACCCTTGTTCCTTATTCCCCCAATTTTTAACAAGCAAAAAGATTGATCTGCGCCAATAATTAATATTATATTCAAGATTGACCGCTTGGCCTCGAGAACCCAAGCTGCAGCATTGAGTGACTGACGCAAACAATGCGGCAGCAAAATTGACCGAGTCCAACCAAAGTCGCCACACGTTCGACAGCCAGGAATTGGCGTAGCTGAGGTGTTGAATTACACTACTTGTGGCTAGCTGGGAGAGCTGAAATGATTCAATGAACCCATGTTCGTGCCAATTGCCAAGCCAGCATGCAGGCCAAATGAAAATCCCGTACAACAGTTGATTGGTGATCCGAGCCTGATCAAGTCCCCCTCTCTAAGTCGAAGTTACAGCTGCCTATAGCTAAAAGTAGCAATTGTAAAGCTGACTGCATCAGCAGATTTTAGCTGGAAGCGAATACCTGTATTGTTTCGTCGCCAATAATTTCCTTACGCTGCACGAGGGGTCGTAAAAGGCGTTGTCATTCGTAGAGCTGACAGCTACGCCCTGGTGTGAGGCTTGCATTAAAATGTGATAAGACGGCATATGTGCCAATGTGTGCCAATGTGCCCAAAGTCTCATTCAAAGTCGATCAATAATTGCTTTGTATGTAGTCCATGACTGCTGTCTTACCCTCACAAGGCGTGAAAAAAAAGAAATATAAAACATTCACTTCGACCCGGTGCCCAAAGGAAATCTTTCCTTGATAACTTCGAATGCACCTCTTCGGGCGATTAAGAAGAAGTTCTTCCAGACGAAGTATGGCTTCTACGATTTCGATAATTTCAGCAGCAGATAAGATGGCATCTGAATCATCTGCGCACGAGTACTACCAGATCCAAGCCCGGTTTCCGGTCAAAGATTCCAACCCTGATGATGGCATCAACCGCAAGGTCTTTGTCCGGCAGGATATCGATGAATGGAGCAGCAAGAAGTCGAACAAAAAGCAGGTGGATCTTTTCATCCTGGCTCTGGACAATTTCCAGAAGTTGGACCCTAAAGAAAGACTGTCTTACTTTCAAGTCGCCGGTAAGTCCTTAGGAGGGCTTCTGTTTACGGAATTTGACACGCATTTGACAAGGTATTCATGGACAACCCTTTGTACGATGGGATGATCCTAGCCCGGCGCCCATGAAAAATGGCTACTGCTTCCATTCTCATGTGATATTTCCCATTTGGCATAGGCCATATGTGCTTCTTTTCGAGGTAGGAAGACCACTTATCTGAGACTTAGGGTCTAAGGGTACTGACTTCATCTTAGCAAGTCGTGTATGACATCATGATCAAGGAGGTTATCCCTCAATTTCCGGAAGCCCATCAAGCTTCATGGCGTGAACAAGCCGAATCGTGGCGTCTTCCCTTCTGGGACTGGGCACGAAATGGACGTGTCCCTGACTTGGCAAAATACCCTACCATCACTGTTTCTGGGCCTCAGGGCGGATCGGTTCGAATCAACAATCCCCTGTTTCAGTTTCGCATGCCCACAGACAAGCCGATGCGAAGTGAGGGCGTCGGTACTGAAAACACATGGGAAAACGACACCGAACAGGAAGATTATAAGAACGTACGTTAGGTCTAGGCAAAATGGGAACAAACGAGCTAACTTGATCAGTTTGGCAATGCAATCGGAACCAGCCGTTGGCCGGACGAAGAGGACCAGAATCCAACCAGTCAGGGCTGGCGCCACGGTGTAGTCAATAACCGCAAAGTGGCAGACGCTTTCAATTCTCACGAAGGATATAACGACAAGAACCATGGTCCTGCAGCTGAAATGGTGTATCGACTGCTTACCGTGCCCATGGACTACACTACCTTTGCAAGCACAAATCCAACCTCGAAAGATCAAAACGTTGATGAAGACTTGAACATAGAATATGTGAGTACATATATCACAGCTCAGGAACTGAACAAGAACTGACCAGAAAATAGATCCACAACAATGTGTAAGTACTCCACCCTAGAATGTCATCAAAATATGCTACTCTCAGTCGCATCAAACACTAACAACATTGTTTCAAAGTCATGGCTGGACAGGTGCTGCAGGACATATGGGAAATGTACCAGTTGCCTCTTTTGACCCGCTGTTCTTCTTGCACCATTGGTAAGTATACCTTCTTCGGCCAGCTAGAAATACCTAACAATTGCTTGCAGCAACATCGATCGTCTTTTCGCAATCTGGCAAGCTCTCAACCCGGACAAGTGGATGGATAACATTCCTGCCGACAATGCTACCATCCGTGATTCATTTGGCAAAGAGCACATCGTGAATGGGAACACGCCTCTTCAGCCATTCAGACGTGATGCTGAAGGAAACTATTGGACGCCTGAAGGAATTAGATTTCCCTCCAATCTGGGATATTCTTATCCCGAACTGCCACGATGGGAGACTAAATACCGCCAGGAGGACGGAACACTCAACCAAGTTCTGTTCAAAGATAATATCACCACCATTATCAATAGATTATATGGTGTGTCGCGTGATTTGGTATTGGACCCTAAAGCTCCAACCCCAGAGGGCGTTGAGGCAATTGACGGTGGGCTCAAAATTACCGACTTCGCCTTCAGTGTTCGGTTCTTGAAGTACATTGCCTTTAAGAAGAACTTCAGAGTCAGCTAATGACGGTTAATTTAGATACGCATTGGGAGGGCGGCCTTTCTGGGTCAAATTGTATCTCGCCCAAGAGGACGGCATACAAACCCCACTGACAGACTTGATCTCCGAGGTTTATAACTTCAGTCAAAAGCCCGAGTTGGATGGCTCTTCGGTCTGCGGGAACTGCACAAAAGGACAAAAATCGCGCGTCAAGTCAACCGCTTACATCCCAATTACTCCTGTTCTTTACAAGCTTCTCAGGGGTGGACGCAAACTGAAGTCCTTGACTCGCGACGAGGTTTTGGCGTATATACGAAGGCGCGCATACTGGCGGGTATTCAAGGCAAGCCATAAGCCCTTGCCTCCGTTGTATGAAAATTGTTGACCTTTTCGCAGAACGAGAAAGAATTACCCCGCTACGAGGTTGAGAAGCTGGAGCTAGAAATCATTGGCAGCAGCAATGACACCAAGCACTTCACCAACCCCGCTATTCCACCAGCCTTCGAAAACTTCAAGAAAGAGCCTACCATCACAGGCGGTGCTGATGGAGCGCTGGATCCAGAGCTGAAGCAGCCGAAGACTGACCCACCGGCTCCCCGGTAGGTTTCCAATTCTATAAATGGGGTTAGATATGAAAACATGATCGCTAACTCGAATCAGACCGAGACGACCAAGAGCGAATCTACCACTACATGGCAGTCTTAAATTCCAGCAGACTCTCAAGGCCGACAGTGTCATTCTCATCGAGTCGTCGAGCGTCGATCCTGTCAAACCCGACGATGGCATCGACATGACCCAAATTTCAATCATGGATGCGGAGAACGATACTATCTTCCATATCTCTATTCGCCGAGCTCAAGGTCAAATCATTTTCAATTCCAAGCTCGGTGGATCATGGGGTGAGGAGGAACGGATCGACATTGACCGTCGATTCGACAGTGAGGATGGTGCGACAATTTTGATTCATGACCAAGGAGAAGGCTTCGAAGTTTCCATTGACTGGGTCCACGCAATTTGGTTTGCTAAACGTGCCCGGGGCAGGACACCACAGTTAATTCAGTATGAAATTGGGAACAAAGAGGGAACCTCTGCTTTATCCGAGGATCTCGAAGTGCGCACCTATCCTTCGATGAAAGCTTTGTTCCTCCAAAAGCATGCTCACGAGGAAGAGAAGTAGCCATCTGTCGTTGACATGTGGTTTGATAGGGATATAAGAAAGCTGGCTATGTCAATTTGATCAAATTTATGGGACTATGGACGGAGATAACATCTTGTATTCTTGGAGAATAAGTGGTTCTTTGGTCTAGTCAAGGCCAGTAATAGATCCCATAGTCAACATCATTCTTGAGTTTACCATTCACGCGCAGATATCCAGACTTTTTCAAAGTGTCAAATTTCTGGGTAATCAGTGTAGCCACAATTCCCCCAAACAGAGTACTCCCGGGCACGTTCAAATGGGTATAGTCCGCTGGGTTGAGATTGTATGTAAAAGCATTTTCTGGCCCGATTGCATTGAGGTACCGTGTGCTCGCTTCATTCAGGTCAATATAGGTAGCATATGAGCGATGGGCGGCAGTGATGGTGGCCATGGTCTCATTGGCGAGACTCATGACTATACGTGGTGTCCCTGTTGAGTTATCGTAGTTGCGCCGAGATAGAGGAGTGACGAGAATTGGTGTAGCCCCAGCATCAGAAGCCTCGGTCACAAACTTTTCAAGATTGCTGGTGTATTGTGACAATGAAATGTTTGCAGCTGGCTTTTGGTCGTTGTGCCCAAATTGGATTGTCACAAATGGATGATAATCGTCTCGAACTTGTCTCACGGTCGTCAAAACCTCATCCCAATCACCTCCGTCTCGGAAGCTAACAGTAGTCGCACCGTTGTGGCCAAAATTGCGACCAGAGGCTTCTTTAAAAAGAGTTGTGTTGAGAAAGCCATCCCCCCATCCTCCTCCGTTCGAGGATTGAGTGGCTGTAGTGCTATCACCTGCCAAAACAAAAAATGGAGTCTTATGCGAGTGTTTTAAGGCACTGGAAGGATATGCCTGAACGTAAGATAGGATACTGAGAGCCACTCCGGTTGCTTTCAAGATCATGGCCATTGTTGTGTTCATGGATGCAATCCCTTTGGGTTATTCTCCACAAAAGACTGTTTTAAATGAACTTATAGCACTCATATGTCGGTGAATAGATCCATTTCTCCCGTTGGTGGAAATCCCTTAATGCAGGAAAGTGATTTGCGGGGTTTTCACGAATGAAGTGACGACATTCCAACATTTTCTCGCGGCCAAATATCCCGAAGGCACTGAGGCCAAGGAACTATGTTTTAGGAGAAATTCTCTATTGGCTTTCTTCCGCGTGAGGGCCGAATATTATATCCCGAGGTCCGTTGTCAGATCTTCTTTTCATTTTCCTCTGCCCTTGCACTGCCTTTACCGGGATGGAGTAAGATTTGGTTTACATATATAGGTAATAGACATGAAGTACCCTAAACCCCTAAGCTGATACTTTCTAGTTTGAGACTGTTAGACTTGTAGCTTTGGATAATCTACAGGTGGGTCATCGAGAAATCCAAGGAAAATTCCGCAAAACGAATGTGCAATTTTTTAACTCATGTATCCTCCTTTCTGAGAGAACCTCCATTCTATCGGTCGCGGGATGGTTCAAAGCTCGAGTGTCTTGGACACAAGCTCCGCCGCTTTCACCAATTCCTCATCATGCATGTTTCTGCCAACGAGCTGCACGCAGCACGGAGCTCCCTCAATGTCATCCGCCACATCTTAAACTCCGGAGTCAGCATTAAATCCATCGGTCATAATGGTTGAAAAAAAATTATAACACTTACAGGGAGGTTTGTAGTTCACACTCCGAATGAATGCCTTGTCGGCGCTCTTGTTCGCCTTACCATGCGGGATGATGCAGCTCGGGTACTTTAGAGAATTAGTATACCACCATAAAATGAGAAGAGGTAGACTTACATCCATCACATTCCAAAGGACAGTGTAGGGCACAAAGCCAAACAGGTCATGAGGTTGAGCGGTACCTTGATAGCCGGGCATGATAATGGCATCCACTTTTGCCTGCATAACGAGATTGCGGAACTCTTCCTTGATGTAATTGCGCTCCACGTTGAGGTCATACAACCCTTCAAGTGTCAATGGGGAATATCCATATGGCATGTAGCTATGGTACAGAGATGTCGATGCCAAAGCAGGGATGGTTGGTTCCCCACTGGCAGCAATGTGCTTGAACGGAGTCCGAGCCGGATCCATCGAGTACATGCGAAACGCCAACACACAGGCATCTCGAATGAGCAGAGTATTTAGAGGAACGATCTCGTTCCCAGCTGCTCGAAGCTTTTCGGTTGCACTTGTAAGAGTTCGTAAAACTGGTGGATGCAGAGGGAAATGGGTATCCTCCTGGATGAGCCCGAGTCGCAGGGCGGACTTGGGGGCAACGGTGCGCCATGGAGAAAACAGAACCGAAGAATCAAATTGCCATGGGTCTGCATTGGTCACGAGCTTCATGAACAGTTCCAGATCTCTGACTGATGTTGCTAAGGGCCCTGCGCAAGACTTGATCCCGGCCAGCCCCCCGCGAGCAGAGCTAGTCTGTCCCCCATACGGAATGCGGTCCGCGGAAGGTCGCAATGCATAGATCCCGTTGCAGATAGCTGGGATTCGAATGGAGCCCGCAATGTCTGTACCAACGCCAAGCACCGAACCTCTCATAGCAATCAACGCCCCTTCTCCCCCAGTCGACCCGCCAGCGGTAAGATTCGATCGATGAGGATTGAGTGTGCGGCCGAACACGTAGTTATGCGAATCAGCGGCCTAGTACGTTGAGCAATTATGGCACGTTTATGATTGTAAGATCACTGACCATCATTGTCTGGGGAACATTTGTCTTCACATACGGGATGGCTCCCAAGTTGAGTAAAATCTGAACCGCGGGAGAAGTTGAACTGACAGGCCCATTTTTGATAAACGAGGTAAATCTTAAACGAGGTAAATCCAATCGTAGACGGAACCCCATCAATGTTGAAGCAATCCTTCATATGATATCAGTACCCAAATTCGCTGTCCAGAAATGTTGTCGTACCTTGAAACTAATGGGCAAGCCATGCAACGGCCCAACAAGTGTCCCTGTTCTGGATAATATCTCATCCAAATCCTTTGCGCGCTGCAAGGCACGCTCAAAGAAAGTCTCAGTGAGGCATCGAGTCTGTGAGTTCATTGTAAGCTGGTGGCTAAGCCTTCGAAGGGCGGACAAGAGAGAGGTCATGTCAACACATACCACTTGCTGTGCAATCGCAGCGCGAATGCAAAATGCTTCAGTGACCTCATAAGCAGACAGCTCTTGACGATGAATCTTGTCCAGCAGATCAGTTGCATCATATTTCTCGGTTATTTCGAGTTGTTTTGCTGACAAGATTCCCGACTGGCATGGAACATCAAGCACATTTATGCCAGATGTCTCGGATAACTTAGTCAGTTCATCCGAAATGCGCCATTCAGTTGGTATCTTAGCAGCATCTTCAAGTTGCTTCTTGTGCACGAGCACTTCCCACGGTTCAGTTTCCATTTCTGACTGTGTATGATTGTTGTGTGTTGAGGAAAGATGAAAGAGAATAAAGAAGAGAAAGAGAAAGAGAAAATGAAGGTGGAAGATCTTTATATGCAAGGTTAACGCGCAAGAGCCAACGCATCGAACATCTGGCCATTCAAGGGAGTCAAGCAAACTACTTAAATTGGCCTCACGTTGTGAAATTGATATCTACATATGGAGCTATTTCTCTAGTTCATTACTCTTTCCCGGGGTCTTTCAGTCCATATTAATCATCGCGCGGCATCTCACTGTTTCTGGAACTAAGGCATCTGCAACCTGGTCAGCAAGCTCAAAGTGGTCCCAAAGGGGTGTACCATATGCCTAATTTGCCTTGTTCGGCGAAAATGTCTGGACCATACAGTGGACTTACTCCGGCTCATTGAACTCAATAATTTCTTCTAAATCTGTCGCATGACTGTCGACAGTTGTGTCAAGGACCCTGGTGAAAGGAATGCTTATGGAGGCTTACCGTCAGTCTCGTGCCAAACGCCACCTCCCAGAGCACTGTTTCCCATTAGCATCTCGGTCCGGTTTTTTTATTAATGTACCCTAGCGGCTAAAATCAAAATCTTTCTTAGGGTCGAAGGTCCTTTCCACGAGGGCGGTATCACGCGTGCGTCAGCTGTTGCCACGATGAGGGACGGCCGTCTAGCTTTTGCAACACTTCAGCCGGGTCCTCCTTGCTGCCCAAGTGCTGTTTTTGATCCATGGGCTTCCAGATCCCGCACGAAATATTGCTTGGAATCTCGGCACAGCACAAGAAGTAGGTACATGGGTTTGGGTTAGTCATGACCATTTACATTCAATCATGCTCCACCGAGGCGATCCCCAACCTTCCACTGCGAGACGGAATCTCCGACTGCTACTGCGACAACTTCTCCAATATTCTGATGACCGGGCACAACTGTGCTAGCAAATGTTAGTACTGTAATACGCTATACTGGGATAGTAGTCAGAAAGACATACAAGGATCCACCTATACCCTACACTTGAGCAATGTGACCCAAAAAGCAAACATAATATGCCTCAAGCTTTAACAACACCTCACCTGCATCGAGTAGAGCGAACAGGGTCTCCTCGATCATAAGAGGTCCTCCAGCCTCTTTGGGCGCAGCACACTTGTGGGAAGTTGAAAGGACCATTGCGGGTTTCAAATTCAGAGTTGTAGGACAACTCAGTGTGATACAATTGTACAAGTCATACAGTGAAGTTATATTGCGGATGAACAACTTCCCTTATATTCTCTCCCCTTTGGCTTCGAACATTGTTCATTCCAAGATTGGGCCAAGCAAATATTTCCGTCGTGAATCATTCTCAACTCTGAGTATTTGCTTTCTTGGGCTCATACACATCTACTGTATCTTGTCCCTTGAGTCAAAAGCAGCCAACTCGGTCCATTGATGCTCCAACTCCCGCATTATCCATGAAGTGCGCCATCCTAGCGTTTTTTCTACTCGGGTCAAAAATTGCAATGATCCTTCCTGCTCGACTACGTTCCGAAGACAGTAGCCAACTAACGACGGGTCAGCGGGCAAGAGTGTCGAGGAATATGGAGTGCACACGAACAGCGATGTAATAAATGGGAGGCCATGAAATAGGCATTCTCTACGCTTTCGTTGGACAGCGACAGTCCGATAACCACAACAAGATGGTCGGCAATCGTTTTCTACGAATTGTATCAGCTTGCAAATATAGTCGCTCAGAGCTCTGGGTTGACTACCTCCTTCACACGCCTTGATCGGGCCCTTTCATAATCGCTCAGACCGTGCGATGGAGATTCAGACAAAGTGAGGAAAATACACGCCGAGTGATAATACTGCATTCCGACCACTTTTGATTGAGGTCAGTAACTTCAGGTTGTGTCGTCATTGGGACTATAAAGACATACCTGCAGGCGGGGATATCATCCATACCTCAGGGAAAGGGCGGCCAGCAGCCACATTCGATGCTTGGTACCGAATAGGTTGCCAGGTTGTGGACTTGGTTTGATTCCACTCTTTCACGCTGTCCGATATTTGGTGCCAGGTATCCCGTTCCACAATATGCCCGGGCGCATCGCAGCATAGTTGTAGGATGCGGGCGCAATGATAGATGATTCTATTAGCACAAGCACCGTCGTCGTGGCGGTGAAACATTGACGAGCGCTCATAATTCTGCATGTCGAGCTGTAAAGGTTGATACTGTACTACCGATGCATAGATAGCTTGTCGCAAGAACTGCCAGCTCACTGCCTCTGCCACCCCGCCAGCGGAGGCAGAGCGCCCCATAAGATTCACCAAACGATTGGATCCAAGCAGGTGAAACTGTTGGTCAGTGTTAGTTTCCAGCTCCTCGTATATACGAAGAATCACGACCGCAATGAGCATGTTCTCGTCACAATTCGTCTCGGCTTGATCTAATGCCGCAATTAATAATTCCAAACATTGTCCGTGATAAGCCGAGGCCTCCCAGTCACTATCGTTGGCCAAGATTGCACCATGTCGCGCAGACAGAGCCAGGATGGCTTGCAGTACCATGTTATTCTCCAATGCCCGTCTTGGGACTTCGCTGCTGAAATGTGAATGGATGTCACAAACATCGGCCTATAATGGTCAGATATGTAACCCTAAGATGAGACTTCGCTTATAGCTCACCCAGGGGGCTAATTTCTGGATAAAGGAGCGCATCAGTGATGCCTCTCTTAGTGTCAGTGCAGATCCATTGTCCGACAGCAGGCTGAGGGGACTGTTTGTAGGGTCCTGGCGGGATCGATTCTCATAGATTGGGCTGCGAACTTGAGCCTGATATGTGTCCTCCGAGTGAAGATCTTGAGTCCATCCACTGCGACCATGTGATACCCGCTCTGGTGCCGGAGTGTATTGCTCTAAAGCACTATATTCATCTCCAACCGACTCCGGGGCTAGAGTGCTGTGTTGCTCCAAAGCACTGTATTCGTCTCCAACCGATTCTGGTGCTAGAGTGCTGTGTTGTTCCAAAGCACTGTGTTCGTCTCCAGCCGATTCATCATTCGCCTCAAGGACGAATGTCACTGGACAAGATCAGTACATAACCAAAGGCATAGTTAGGTCATATACACCTACCAGGCTGGGATACATCCACCCAAACTTGTTCTTTATCCCAATCTAACTCGAATCGGGCAGTGGCACCATTATTCTTTTGGTAAACGTGGTGAACAGGCTTGAACTGAAAGCGGGGATCGAGATGACACGCGCGACCAAGTCGCAAACATGGAGTGCAAGTTGATGCACCGGTGGGAATCACACATCGGATATGTCGATTACGACACCTTTCACAGCCCTTGCCTACTCTCATAGAGATATCAGCTCAAGGTGGCTGTTATCAGGTTCATCTATTTAGAACCCCCGAGCATGATGGGCAAGGTTCCCCGCATATGCTGAGTCATCTTTTAGGGAAACCTTGGAATTCTCAAGAAAGTTTTCGACATCCATGGTTTGCCACTCACGGTACCAAGGACCTCGGGCATAAAATGGATGTCCAAAGGTTTTGCAAAGGTTGCAAAGGTTTTGATATTACAACATTATTCTATATGTATGCACATGTGGATTCTTTTCTTTTGATTCCTCTGAAATTTCAGTGATGTCGGTTCATGTGGGGGATTTTGAACCAGACCGGGCCGCCAAGGGCTGCCAATCCTGTTGCCTACCTACCCCATTATTCAATACTCCCAGCCCGTACTCCGCACTCCATACGGAATAGTAGAGCAGGTACGGAGTATCGAATTACGACATACTCCGGTACAAAAATAGCAACACGGCTTCGGTGCCGAGACTTTATGATGATCAATCCATGGTAGGTAGAGGAATGATTTGTGCAAACTGAACTCGCGCATTTTATCTCCCGGTCCGTGCCTTGGAATCGAAATTGCATAGGCACAACGATCGATCCGCCAGTGGGCCGTCGGTTTCGGGCATGTATCGCTAAACAAAACATCCGAAGTTGACCAATCAACACTATAAACAGACGGTGAATATCGGCAGTCTTGATGCTCAATTGACATACAAAGTACAATCAGCCAAGCCCGGGAATTTTCGACTCCGCCTCCCTTCATATTGTTGACCTTAAAACTGCGAATGCCCAGTCCTTCGCGCAAACAATATTCAGGGTTTGTCATGTCAAAAAAGTAACTGGAGCTTCGCAGACCTCACCCGTACGGATGATTATAATCTACCTTCTGGCGATTGCCAGTGCATGGCAAAGAGCGGTCGCTGATTCTGATGCTTGTAAGTAATGTATCGCTTGCTTGTCTTGTCAACTGTGTAGCTCATTCCCTATAGGTTCAAGCAGTGTGACCATCTCGAGTCAAAGCGAGGCGGACAAGCTGAGCAGCTGCGACACATTCGACGGAAGTATTACGATATCATCTTCTGCCAGCGGAGTGATCACCATCAATAATGTTGAGGAAATCAAGGGCGCATTGATTGCTGAGGGTGCCTCGGAGCTCACGAGTCTTTTTGCCCCTGATTTGGACAGTGTGAAGGGAGGTATCACACTGAGTACCCTCAAGTCACTCACAACCATAACCATGGGCGCGCTATCACAAGTTTCTTCGAGCATAATCATCACGGGGAATCCAAACCTGAAAACACTGGGATTCCAAGAATTGGAACAAGTTGACGGACAGTTGGAATTAGCGGGATTGTTCGACAGGTAGGGTCATTGCAACATTAACTCCGACCTTCTAAGATACTGATGAATATGGCAGTGTGTCACTGCCTTCTCTTGATCAAGTTAAAGGTCGGACAACAATCATAGGCAGCAGTTCCATGTCATGCAGTACATTAGACACTTTGAACTCCGACAGAGTCTTCAAAAACGGCTATATTTGCTCCAGTGGCTCGTCTAGCCTGAGTCCAGGAGCCAAGGGCGGAATTGCAGTGGGTGTAATCGTGTTTATCCTTCTGATTGTGTTGGTCCTATGGTTTGTACTTCGGCGACGGCGCCAGAAACAGAGAGCTAGAGGGGCCCGATCAACTATTCCACCTCCATCAACCCCATCAACTGTCGCGGCACATGATGAAAAGGCACCCATTTCTCAGGGCAGTATCTCACCTCAGGAAGAAGCATCACGTCCAGAAGAACCGCAGACTCTCTTGCCTCGAAAGCCAGTGGGATCGGCGATATTATTGGATGGTCGCTCAGTCTATGAGGCCCCGGATGGATCCACTCCAGTCCAGGAATATCACGAGTTGGACGCGGGACCAATATTGAGCTCTCATCAGCGACCAATAAACGCAGACTAAGGTGATCCTCATTGATGGGAAGAGATTATCTTGACAATGAATAGAACAGCCGTGAGATAGCATAAGCGGCATGACAGGCAGCTTTTCACAATCATGCATATACCCTTGGATCTTTTTGTTGAATGCGACATGTTGTAGTAAATATTTTTTTTCCTCATTTCCGAATTTCAAAGAAGGCAACTGTTTACGGCCACGTGAATCTGGCCTACAACACTATATCTACATGGGCTTGTGTAGTCTTCGGGATCTTCGCGTTTGATAAATATGTCACCACCGCCAGCCCGCTTTGTGACCACTCTGTTAGGAACTCAGTGGGAGGGCTTTTGTTAGAACTCCAGGACCAGCAACGTATTGTCAGCGCCTCATAAATCAGGCACTTAACAGGCATAGGCCAAGGCAATTGTACAGGATGGTCCGTTGATTTTGATCGGTTGATTATTGGGCAAGTTATCTAGATATATCGGCACTGGTGCAAGCCTGTTGACGCTCCATAGAACACAGGATATCTATATCCCATTCAACCAGTGAGCGCCTGGGGCGATCAGCGAAATTAAACACTCAGAATAACCTTGTGATCAGCGGCCTTCTCCTCGGGCTCGCCAAAGATATCAATATTCCAACGAGGCTTGTTGGCAGCATAAGGGGTGTTGTAGCGCTTCCGGTTCTGGCCCAGAACGCTGACCTTCTGAACCTCCTCGGGGGTGAGTTCTATCTCCTTAAAGTTGTCACGAATGCGCGAGGGCGTGACCGACTTGGGGATGACACTGTGTCCGCCTACCTGAGACCAGGCGAGACTTGAAGACTGTTAGCTTTCACGGGGCAGGACCATAGAAAGGGCGTGTATAATCTTACATGACGTGTGCGGGGCTGACTTCCTGTCCAGTGCGCTTTGCGACAGACTCGGCAACTTCCTTGACCTCGGGGCGGGTGATGAGCAGGGGAATGTCGAGCATGTTGTTACCAAATGCCTAGAGCTTTGCTCAGCACTTCGCTTCTCTCATCAGCCCAAGGAAATAGATACGTACAGAGTAAGCAGTGATGTGGATTCCCTTTTGTTGGCAGTACTCAATCAGGTCATTGCTTTGGAGTACGGGGTGGCGCTCGATCTGGTTGGCGGCAGGGACGACACCGGTGCCATTAATGAGAGCCTCGAGCTACGGGGCGTATTAGCTGATGTATGGCGAATTTGGGGTAGAGAGGATACGAACATGCTCAATCTTGTGGTTGGAGACACCGACGGAACGAGCCTTGCTCTTGGGGAGCTGAGTCATGGCTAAGAGGAGTTAGCTGTGTCTGATTTTCCAATTTGCACAAAATATCCATTTACCCTTCCAGGTGTCCACAATAGAGACGCCATCGTCAATGATCACATCACCACCCTCGACGGTGCTGTTGGCAACAAGCGGGAAGTATGAATCGCCCTTCTGGAAGGCAACGGGCCAGTGAACAAGGTAAAGCTGGGTTCTGTCAGCAATATCCCACCGAATCACTAGATGGAATAATCATACATCAAGGTAATCCAACTCAAGCTCAGCAAGGCAAGCATCCAAAGAGGCCTCGACAACCTCCGGGCGGTGCTGGCTACATGCAGGGTCAATAAATTTGTAGTGTAACAATGTAGTTGGAGATAGCATACCTGTTCCACAGCTTGGAGGTCTGTATAATGACATGTCAGTTACTGAAATCGTGTAACATCCCAAGTCGGTATGTATTAAACTTACAATAAAGAGATCCTCGCGTTTCAGACCGGGGACATCTTTATAAGCACGCTTGATGCCCTCAGCGACCTCACGCTGGTTCTGATAGCTGTGAACAGGTGGTAAGTATGGCGCAATTATAATGGGCGGGGTTTCACGATCAAGGGATTGGTTCTGCATACATAGTTGCCAAATCCTAAGAGGGGTGGGGGTTAGCGAATAGTTTGAAGAAATGATGGACATTTACATACCAGGTGGCGGTAACCAGCTTTAAGGGCCTCATAGACAGCCTCACCGACCTGGCCAGGGGCAGACTGCCAGGTACCAAAGCCCAGCTGCCTGAACGTGGGGTCAGTGATGAAGTCTCTCCATATTTTCTCCAGAATATACGCACGGGATCTGGTGGCCGGAGTTGAGAGTGACTTTCTTTCCGAGAGACATGATTTTGAAGAGATTGAAGAATAATTGGAAGAGAAAGAGAAAAAGAGAAAGAAATGAAAACCCCCAATCTTTAACTGTTCAGTTCTCCTGCGGGGCTTCTGGACTGTCCATCCCACGCCCCTCTCGGAGTAGACTCCACCGAGGAAGTAAACGATATTTTTTTAAGCTGAATATGGAGTAATGAGAAAGTCATTTGCATTCATTCACATTTGTAATTGGCAGTTTACTGATATATCTGCGATTATTCCAAATATAGTACACTATATATTACGAATATACGTAGTACTATGTTGTATATAAGAAGGATATACATAACGGAGACCCCATTCCCCCCCCGCGGGGTAATTTATGATGTCATTCTGGATGTGGAATGGCGATTTAACTCCTTTTACATATGATGTATTAATCTTTTCCATGTTTACAATTTTGTTGCTGGTTTGCTGGCAATCCTGTCAGACACATCATTGGGCATCGAATCCCTTGAGCCCTGCAGGGGACTGGCTTTGTCGGTGCGATCGCTCCGGTCTTGTGCCGAGAATGGTACAATATTTTAGTCCTGTGTCGTTATCACGGTTCTTTTGCTTTTCTAACAGAACTTGTATTGAATCGCATCGAATTCCCTGTGTTCATTGTCCCTGAATGTGTCCACAAAAGCGAGATCGCCCTATATTAAACTAGTCTACTGGCCCATGAAAACCCTCAAAAGTTCTGGATAGTTGGGGGTACCCAATCCGGTCACTGGATCCCAACCTTCGGCCGCAGAGAAGCCATCAGTGTTGCAACCCGGGTTAGTGCCCTTCGTCACGTCAAAGAATGCCTCCGGGTGAGCGTACAATACAGGGTTGACAAAGCCAACAGTGGACTTGCCAGCGGCCAGTCGCTCCTCGTTGATGCGGGTGAGGATTCCAGCAAATACGGGTGCAGAGGCCGATGTCCCACCAATCGACACGGCCGTTCCCCTATTATAGATGACGACCTTGTCACCAATAGCAGCAACATCTGGATAGGCACGTCCGATCCGGTTGTAGATACCGTTATTCTCACCGAAGCTGCTGTTGTCCACGCTCTCATAGTATGGGTATGAGGGCTTTACCTTGTCAAAGTAATCGGCAACAGCCTGGGCCTGATAATCAGGCGCCTTGTAAATGTTGCTGAAACCGCCGCCTGACGGGAACCTAGTCACAGCTTGCTCCTTATGATCTTCTGGTGAGAACCCCGTAGGGATTTCAGTGCCTCCCACCGCAGTAAGGTATGGACAAGAGGCCGGGAAATCTGGAGCAAATATTCTGCCATTCGAGCCAAGGCAGTTGCTTGGGGTGGGGTCGCCTCCACGTCCAGACACACCAGAATCACCCGAAGCGACCACCACGGAAACTCCCATTGTACCTAGCTTCATAAATTCGGCACATTGTCGCCGCTGATAGGAAATGGGGAGATCCGCCTCGGCGGAGCCATAGGAAATCGAGATGACCTTGGGTGGGTCGTACACGCCACATTGCAGGGAGCCCTTGTAGCCCCCGTCTGCCGGATCGGGGTATGTAGGGTCCAAAGGCGAGATGGTACTGCAGTACGAGCCATCGATGGCGTCCAAAAACGTGTTGAGGAAGCCATGGAAGGTATAATGGTTTTCGTAATGCATATCATCGCTTTGGAAAAGAATGGAGTTCTGTGGCCAGATAATCGGGTAAGAGATTTGGAAGTCCAGATCGGACTCAGCCCCAGCATTGGAAATGTCTGTAGGAGCCTGGCCACCATCAACTGACTTGAGAGCTGGGTGTGTGCCCTGGGGGATTTTCCTGCAGGACAAGTCAGTTCGAAATCCAACCAACTCGACGAAATATGATTCAAAATGACATACGAGTACAAATTCGAGAAGAACAGATTTAGATCTTCCTGAGCATAGACATCCCCGATGCCTTCAAAGATTCCCAGTTCATTTCCTTTTGTAGCAGAGTGACCCTCACTGATGTTATACATCTCTGTAGGCCTGTCAGCATATTCAGTCTGTGGGTATTTGTATTCCGATCACTTACGTTGGATGCATTGGGGTGTAATGGCTTGGGAGCAAAAGGATGAAGCCTCGCTGAACAGCTCCTCAAGTGGTAGGAGGATCGGCTCAAGGATAGGGGGGATCCCATCCACGAAGCGTTTCTGCTTATCAGTCGATCTCCGGACATCAGTCACCTCTCGCAGAGAAATTCCTGGAGTGATATAGTCGACGTGCTCACGCACGGAGCTCGGGAGATGATATCTGTGGTCAGAGGTCAGCGAGACTGTAGATTCAATCTAAATGACAGGCCTTACTCGCGACAGGCCACATGCGATCGGCCCGTTTCAGCATGTGAGTAGACATAGTACTTTGTGTGCAGCAAATTCTCCAGCTCCTCGGCATCGGCGTCAAACTGGATCCATTGCTTGTTGGCTGATTGCGTCATGCGGTCTTTTGCAATACCAGCCGACTCCAACCAAGAACGCACGTCATTCACGCCTTTTTCAGTCGGGGCAAACAGGTCGTGCACTTCATCAATGGACAGATGCTGCCCATAGCGGCTCGAGTAAGGGTTGGACCTAGACAAATCCATGTGAGTTTCAGACGGTGGAAGGTCCATTGCGTAAGTTCATACAAGTCCATAAGTAGCTCATGGCCATAGTCTAAATTAGACTGGGTCAACCCGATTCGCACAGGTAGTGACACATTTCCGTCGAGCTTCTTGCCTTCAATCCAAGATTTGGGAATGAAATCACGACGCTCGTGCAATTGATAACTATGAGCCGTTGGCACTGCCATCGCACCGGCCGCTAAGGCACAAAGCATAATGAAAGATTTCATGGTAATAGTCTTAGCAGCAGTTTGCCAATTCAGCTTCCTCCTTCGAACTTGCGAATCATGTGAAAAAAAGACCCGCAGCGGACAAGGCATTCTTTATAGCATCTCCCCTCTTCCAAGGTGGGCCTGGATGGGGCTTTGGGGGTCGAGCACCATTGAATTCGATTGGACTGAGATCATCCAAGAGGAAAGACAGCCAGTCGATCAATGATGCTAAGACCCCGGGAAATCAAAACGGGTTAAGGATAGAGCTTATCCTGCTTGTCAGTAACTTTGTCTTAGCCTGTAAGTATCTCGCTAAGGGTTGAACATCGGGGTGAGGTTCCTCGGAGCCATTCATCTAACAAGATCAAACCAAATCGACACCCCTCGGAAGGTTAAAGGCAGGTCACACGGGGGCCATATGAAGATCATTGACACGGAGAGTATATATCTTCCATGATGGGGTTGCGTTTTTCGGCGACTTTTCGAAAATGGCGTCGCTACAACCCATCAAGTCGACGAGATTCAAAACATTTAGAAACATGTATCTTTGTCGTCCGTCGGAGAACAGGGTCCATTGGTTCCAAACCTCCGAACATAATCTCAGCAATTACAGCCCGAGATAAGAACAGGATCTCATGCGAAAATCAAAGATCATCGGCGTTGTACCTCGGGAGAAAACTGCCCCTGAGGGATTGACTGGCAACGAGGCGATGGAAATGCAACCAGCACATGATTAAACGCAGAAGGCTTGAGCCACTGGACGTCAAGGGCTGCCTAGTGGAAGTGTGGAGAGTATTTCTTCAAGGAAATGCCTCGGTCGAATCATAATCAAAAGGTTTCTCGTTATGATTTGATGCCGAAATGAGGTCGACGATCCTGGTTCCCCCTCAAACCCCTCATTTCAGGGTGTTGGATGAAGATGTCCATACTGAAATGTTATGAAAAACAGGAATAGAGGAATTAATGAATTGGTTTGAGACCCAGCCCGACCCAGCCCGACCATAAAGCAGAACTGTTAATGTTAAAGCATCATCTTTGCTTAAAATTCAGACTGCGGAATTATTGGGGTTACTTGCCCAGGTGGTAAAACAGTAATATCCCACCCAGTCTTATGCATTCTGCATACTTTGTTTCAACTTACGATTAAAAAGGTTGGTTGCTATTCCAACACCATAAACACTACGGAGGACCATTCTTGTATCGAGTCTTGCATCGCAACTGTCATCCACCCACTACGCGGCTGCCTAAACTCCGCATACGGGGGATGATCTTATGAGTGGTATTAAAGAGTTGATACAGAAGACCAAGGCTGCATGCAACGTGGGCGGCAGAAACACAGTTGCATGTGCTTTCTCCAAGCAGAAGTCATGCGAGCAAAAGATGATAGCTCTTGTCATGTGCAGGGAACTTTATTATGTCGGGGGATGGCATTGCCGTCGAGATTCAGGTGCAGATGATTAGCGAAGAACTGGAGATCACAATGTGAAAGAAGTCCCAGGAAATCCCAGAACTCAAAGCATTGTAAGGAGGTGGTTTCAAGGTCCGTTTGGTGGACTGTTGTCCGGACGGTTCAGGTGAAAATGGCAGCATTTCTGCCACATCGATAAGGGGATGTGGTTGGAAACTCTCAACCTGACGGTTCGACCGCAGAGTGTCTCGTCCATGACGCTGGCACGGGTATGTTTCAACTGCCGTGTCGTGGTCGCATCGAAAGACGGCCTCAAATTAGCGACGTGATATTCGGGGGCACAATTTCCTTCTCAATTTGGGATAAGCAACCACTCAGGATCCGCACCATTTCCATAATAAATCCACCAGCTGCTGCCGATGCAATGGCTTAGCGATGTAATCGTCCATCCCCTTGGCCAGGTAGGTCTCTGCATCTCCCTTGAGAGCATTGCCCGTCAATGCAAGGATGGGCACATCGAGTTTCATCCGTCGAATGTGCTCAGTGGCGGTCAATCCGTCCATGACCGGCATGCTGATGTCCATTAGGATCACATTATAGGTCAAAGGCTTCTGCTTGACCATACGCACTGCTTCCGCTCCATCCCAGGCAGCATCGACGCGCTTGAAACCCAAGCTGCTGAGAAGTTTCAACATGATAAGTTGGTTGACCTTGTTGTCTTCGACTAGGAGGATGTGTTTGTGTGGGGCGATCTTCTGGAGCGAGGCGGAATTATCCAATGCCTCAGGTATAGCCGGTTGCAACCTCTGTTTCACTGGAGATACTGGTGAGGTAAGGCGAGCCATCTTAGCTGTCATCCAGAACACACTGCCGGGTCCGTCGGGGTTGGCATGGAATCCAACCGCTCCATCCATCAATTCAGCCAGGCTCTTGCATATCGACAGACCAAGGCCAGTACCCTGGTATCTTTTTGCGGCCGTGTCCGCGAATCGCGTGAAGGGGGTGAAGAGGGTGTTCGTGGCATCTTCAGGGACGCCGATACCCGTGTCCACTACCTTCGTGGAAATCACATACATATCAGGGTCCTTTTCATCGATGTCATAAGCGGCATGAACTCGAACATGACCACTCTCAGTAAATTTGACTGCGTTGGTGACCATATTTTGCAGAACTTGACGGAACCGCAGCGGGTCACCTTTGAGGTTTGGAGGAAAGCCTTCGCTAACACCGCCTATGATTTCGACACCAGGCTTGAGTGCTGACTGACAATTCCGAACTACAGCAGAGATCACGTTGGGGATGTTGACAACGTCTGGGTTCAAGGGGAAGGTTCCCGACGATAGCTTAGAATAATCTAGCACATCGTTAATGACCTGCAGCAAGATAGAGGTTGAGTCTTCCAGGATGGACCCGAATTCCCGCTGGTCATCAGTCAATTCGGTCCTCAGTAGCATTGTCAAAGCTAAGAGCATTCCGTTCATCGGGGTGCGCAATTCGTGGGACATGTTGGCCAAGAAGTCAGACTTCAGCTTGGCAGATTCTTCAAATGCATCAATCAAACGGGCCTCTGTCGCCCGGCGTTCGGTCATGTCGCGGGTAACTTTCACGAATCCCACATGGCTGCTATTCTGATAGATGGCGGTGATCATGACATTGGCCCAAAACCGGGTACCATCCTTGCGGTAACGCCAGCCCTCATCCTCCACTTTTCCTTCTTGTAAACAGACCTCTAGCTCGCGGGCGGGCTTTTTCATTGCGCGGTCTTCGCGACCGTAAAAGATGGAGAAATGCTGGCCGATGATCTCGGATGATGTGTACCCCTTCAAAATAGCGGCGCCAGAATTCCAAGTCGCAATATGGCCGCTCGTATCCAGCATGAAAATGGCATAATCCTTCACGGTGTCGACCAAGATTTTGTAGGTTTCGTTGAGATAGGTTTGTTCGCTCATGGAATTCGACCTGTTCCGTTGGTGTTTGGTCCGCTGGGCTTCCAGTAGTACGTAGATCAGGGAGTCATCTTCAAATATGGGTGTCACGCTGAGTGAAAACAAGGCGTTGGCTTTTGCCAACTGAATACGCTTGATGACCTGCACTTCGCGAGTTGATATGGCAGTGCCGAGGGCACCACTCAGGGAGGCGATGTCGGGGGCCGGGAGGATGGAAGGGGGAGATCGTAGACATTCTTTGTTAACAGTTGGTCTCGTGGGCGCTTGAAGACTTCCACATGACTGTTGGATACTTCGACGATTCGTAGGGTGCCGTCTAATACAATAGTGGGTTTACTGCGAAGGGTTAATAATGGAATAATTCTTGATATCCTTTCGTAGGGTCCAAAGGGGGTATTCTCACGGTGTAAATCGATATATGCGATTTAAAGATCCGGTCACAATGGGCTGCTCAAGGGCTTTGTTCTCAAGATTCAAGTCGCTCTCGGCGGGAGGAGTGATCACCATATCGACATTGTTCATAGGGCCGTCGATTCTCAGGTGGAGCATCTGATCCACAGGCATATTGCTAACAGCCTGGGAGGAAGTGAGGATGTCATTCAAGAAGATATTCTTTGAATATAAGGATAAGGATAAGGATAAGGATGTGAATCAGGACTTTTTAAAAGCCGGGATTTTGGAGGGAAAGCTGAAGAGAGTCCAACCGAGGGGAGGATGGAAGGTGAGTGGACGGGAGAAATGGCCGGAAATGCGCTTTTCCAATAGCGTTCCAGGCCAAGGTGGATAACAGAAGATGAAAACGAGATATATTACAATATTCGACCTATTAGAATTAGAACTAGTCAACATTTGAACCTATTTAAACTTGGAACCCTATTTAAAAGGAACGACGTAATGCTATTTGTACTATGTACGGGAGTAAAACTTCTGTCTTCTATATACTAGTTATGTATCATATACATATGTACATACATAGTGAACTATAACCATGTATGGGATCCATGGATGTACGTGTGTATTATAAATGACGTACTACGTAATTCTCTGTTTCAACCTTGGAATCTTGGAACCTTCGAAAAAAGAAATATTACTAATGAGGGGCAGGCGGCAATAACTCGGCTATATTGCGCGTACTTTGGATAGTTTAATAGTCTTAGCTGTACGGAGTACTATACAACAATGCAGAAGTGTGCAATTGATCATTTTACTGGACACAGAGATTCCATCTTTCTACAAGATCACATTTTCGCGCTCGGCCCTTTCCACCATCTTGACCAACGCATCTGCAATCCCATATGAAAACGTATAACCACCACCCCCAAACCCGTAGGCTGACAACACCACCCGACTGCCCTTTCGCTCCGAGTCTAGACGGAAACCTCCTTTTCGGGATGGTCGGATTCCAATAATATAACTCACCTTCTCTGCAGCTGGGTGTTCGGGGACAATTTCAGGAGCTAACCGATGCGCGCGTGCAATCTCATCCCTCGCAATATCCATATCAACTTCATGTGACCTGGGGAGGTTAGATTGGACCCGGACTTGGGAGAAATTTAGGGATTTTTCATACAGATTGCCCTGTTGCTTCACCCCACCTAACACCACCCCCTTGGATAGAGGCCGAGGAATCACATAGGTATATTCCTTGCCATTTCGGAAGTGGAGTGTGTTGCATTGATCAGTTGCCAGAAACACATTCTGCCCTCGCTCCGGAAAACAGTTATCATCTTGCACATCCGTCAGGGTTTTACTGCCCCAACCGCTTGCATTGATGAATACCTGTGATTCAGGGAACATGTCATACAGCTGCTGAAGAGACTCGACACGTTGACGGATAAAGCGACCCCCAAGAGACTCAACCTGTTTCCTTAGATATGGCATATGTCTCGTAGGATCTGTGACAAGCGTTTCATAGGCCCAGGCACAGTTGAAATTGGGAGGGTATTCACCAGGACTCATCTCCCGGAACTAAACAATACGGAAAATGTTAATATCAATCAATAGCGGGAATCACTTGGAGTGCAAAGTACCTTGGAGACTACCGTCTTACCCCATACCGCCGAGTCACGGGCAGGTTTTTGTTCGAGGTATTCTCGTGCGTTCACAATGCTCACCCCTGCCTCGGGGCCATCTTGTGCCATCTTGAGTAATATGCGATGTGTGACAGCTTGGAGGTACTGTTGATCAGGGGTGATACCCCCAGCAGCATGCCACGCTGCTCCTGCCCAAGCCGATGCATAGTAAATATTCTGATCTCCCGGTAGATATTCGGCCACCAATACCACGGAGAATCCATTCAGCAGCAATTGCCGGGCAGTTGCACAACCAATGATCCCTGCACCGAGGATTACCACGGGTCTTTGAGAAAAGGGTACCTCATTGGTATTCAATTGGTCGCATTCGTCCATTGTGAGGTGAGTACAAGGTTCAGGTGATGAATATCACAGCGTTTCCCGAGGACATACGTAGGTTCCCGGTGGAACTGAACCAGCCGTTGAAATGATTCCAAGGTAATTGAATCAAGAATTCAGAGGTGACTTAGAGCAAATAGTCAATACATCTTCGAATTGCCCAAAAAACAAGGGGAAAAAAGGGGAGGGGCAGATCAACAACGTTCAGGGTTTCGAGCTTTTAAGCCTTCAACGCGGCATTTCTACTTAAGTTGAAAGTTAATTCGATCAATTCGATTCATTCTATTAATTCAATATTATAATGTTTTTTTTTTCCACAAAAAATCCGAAGCTATATCTTACTCCGGCAATAATAAAGTGGGTCAATAACGGCCTCTTCCGACGTCGCATCCCCGTCAGTCACTTTTTTTTCCCTTCTTATATATTTTGTACATCCATTTTACCCATTTTACCCAATCCTATCCAAGAGAACGGAATCCGGGGAGGGAAATGATGTGATAGATGCCCCAATGCCCGTTCTTTATTGGTCATTTTGTTAGCTCACCGGGATATCCCTGTGCACTTCATGCAGCCATCGGTACCTAGTCGGTCTAACATTCGGCTCGAGCCGACTCAACACTAAACTGGGGTTAGCTGTGCTTCCCTCCCTTGCTCTAGGGGAAGGCTCCTGCAGACGATCGGGTTCATGATGGAGAGGGCTGAGAAGAGCCAGGTGGGTGCCCGTTTTTAGCTTGATCCTCCCCCACATATCTTTTTAAATTAACTGTTTCACATCTCAGAACGCCCATTCGGATCAAGATGGAATTGCCATTCTTCACGATCGGGATGTCGAGAAGATCTTACCCTATGAAGCCGATGATTCGCCTTTCCCCGAGGTGCGGGCTGTCATCCAACCAGTCAATGACTTGACGCTGCCTGTTAACACAGTCCGCATGTGGACTATTGGTATTGTGTTTACTATCGTATGTCTTCTATTTTATGCGACTGGACGATCGGCAAGATAATACTAACCGCCGGCACAGGTCGGTAGTGGACTGAACCAGTTCTTCAGCTTACGACAGCCCAGTGTGAATATCAGTGCGCTAGTGGCGCAATTGCTGGCTTTCCCTCTGGGATGCGCCTGGGCGAACTGGATTCCTCTCGGGGTGCTGAATCCCGACCGGCATTTCAATATCAAGGAGCATGCCTTGATCACAATCATGGCGAACGTCTCTATTGGCTCTGCTGCTGCCACCCAAGTTATCGAAGCGCTTGTCAAGTTCTATAACATGCCATCGCAGGGTGGATTTGAAGTCTTATTGTGTATTACCACGCAATTATTCGGCTTCGGCTTAGCTGGCATGGCCTCGCGTTGGCTAGTCGGCCCGGCATCGATGCTTTGGCCGCAGGTGTTGTCAAATGCAGCCCTTTTGACCACTCTCCATTCTCGCTCCAATGCTATCGCAGATGGTTGGCGGATCACACGTCTCCGCTTCTTTCTTTATGTTTTCATCGCTGGCGCCATCTGGTACTTCGTCCCGGGATATCTTTTTACGGGTCTCAGCACCTTCGCCTTCATCTGCTGGATCGTGCCATCCAATGTGGTCGTGAATCAGCTCTTTGGACAAACCACCGGACTGGGGATGTCGCTATTGACGTTCGATTGGGCCCAGGTGGTTTATGCCAATCAGAGCCCCCTGCTTGTTCCCTTCTGGGCTGGCCTTAATGTGATGGGGTCATTTGCGCTCTTCTTTTGGCTCGTGTGCCCGCTTGTTTACTACACCAACACCTGGTATTCCGCACACCTTCCACTGCTCAACTCCAACACCTTTGATAATACTGGGATTCCTTATAACACCAGTCGTATCATGGGCCCGAGCGGGAGTATCGACCAAACTGCTTATCGGAACTATTCGCCCATGTTTTTACCAGCCGGCTATGCAATCACATTTGGTGTTGCTTTTGCTAACTTGACGGGCATCTTTTTCCACATCGCATTGTATCATGGCAAAGACTTGTGGCAACAATTGAAGGGCACCAGCAAACAAGACGTCCATAGTCGACTGATGTCTTCATATCTAGCCGTACCCTGGTGGTGGTTCGCTGCAGTAACTGTCCTGATGTTTGTCTTGAGCATTGTGACGAACGAGGTGTGGCATACGGGCCTACCGGCATGGGGTGTGCTTGTGGCATTCGTATTACCAGTGGTCTACTTTATCCCTGTGGGAGTCATCAAAGCCCTCACAAATATCAGCAGTAACCAACTTAACCTGCTCACGGAATTCATTGGCGGATATGCCTTCCTCGGGCAGCCAGTGGCCAACATGGCTTTCAAATTCTATGGTTATGTCGCCGTCCAGCAAGGACTTGAGTGAGTTACATACTGTTTGAAAACAGAATTGACATGAATTAACACCATCTCAGATTTGTCGCCGATATGAAGTTGGCTCATTATATGCACATCGCCCCACGGCTTCTCTTTGTAGCTCAAGGCCTTGCCACACTCATCGGAGCTATTGTTCAATGTGGTGTGACGGTGTTCATGATCACCAGAATTGATGGTGTGTGCACCCCTGAGGCCGAGGGGAATTTCATCTGCCCTCATGGAAAGGTCACATACTCTTCATCTCTCATTTGGGGTGAGTTCCAGTTTTATTGTCGATTTTCTTCCAGGTCATATAGCTAACCAACCTTCAGGTGCTGTTGGTCCAGGCCGATTGTTCTCTTCCGGGCAGATATATAGCAATCTCCTTTGGTTTTTCATGGCCGGACCCGCGGTAGTAGTCATCACCTATCTTCTAGGTCGTCGCTGGAAAGCTGCCAATTATGTCTCCTGGCCCGTCGCTTTCGGTGCAATGAGCCAAGTCCCACCTGCTACCGGTATCAGCTTCTCCTCGTGGTGGATAGTCAACTTGATATTCAATGGTGTACTCCGTCGCCGCAAGCCCGCGTGGTGGTCGAAATACAGTATGTTTTTTTTTTATCCTTCCTCCTTCATTGTTGCTTCTTTTGCTGATCGTCCGCAGATTATGTGTTATCCGCCGCGCTAGACTGCGGCGTTGCAGTTGCAACAGTAATCATCTTCTTTTGTATAACTCTTCCAGCCGGTTCATTTGGCTGGTGGGGAAATACTGTGTCGAAAACCACAGCCGACGGAAAAGGGACGCCCTATATGGGCTTACCACCGCGTGGCTACTTTGGCCCCCCGAAGGGGAACTTGGGAGTGATCAAGAACGCTTGATCACGACTTCATTTGGGTGTCTTTCTACCTCCATATCTTACCATAATTACTGTGTTTCAAGTGCACTTTACGTCTCTT